AGAAGCGTAACAATTGAGATTTGGAGTCACTTTTAGAAAATTGGATGAGCTGTGGACATCACAAAAACAAATGAATATTTTTTTCGTATCTGGTGTAAAATATTTCATTCTTATTCCAATATTCATGTGTGCTGCATCCCCGCATAGCTCCATATAGGGTTTATTAACTAACACTGGATTATCAATATCAACCAAATTGAACAAAAGAGCAGATTAACTTATGCACTAAGTTATGTTTTTCTGGTCAATATGTAGCCCATTCACCAAGCTTAGCTTTGGCTCATTTTAAAGGAAAAATGTACCACGACTTACTTAGCTTGAATATTGTTCTTTATTTAACAAAAATGAATTATTTAAATTCCTCTACACCTCAACTTTTCCATCTATCTGTGTGTGTCTTGGCAAAAAAAAAAAATGTATATGTATATATCAAGTCAAGGTATCGAAATGAACTTTTATCGTTTTTCCAATGCATGGCTTATAATTGAATCAAGTTTTGGTTTGCTTTGGAAAAATTTCGAAACACACTTGACTTTCTTTTTGTTTTTTATAATAGGTACAAGTATCTTTTCATTAGAAGTAGTCTCATTCGAGAAAGTGTCAGATATTTTTGAAAAATCAACACACGTTTATTATAAATAATTAATTTAATTAATTATGTAAATTAATTATCTACAGTAACTTATACATTTTAGGTGGAGAAGAGTAATTAATTTTATTGTGACCAGAATGCATTTCCAGTAACTAATAATCCTAGTTAATTGGGAGATGAAATTAAATGAATCCTTGATCCCATAAAAATAATAAAATAATGGAATAATGAAAAAGAAAGCACATTGCTTGTGGCTAAGGAAGAATAATTATGAAGGAGGGGAATGCCATCATGAGGATAAAGCATCAGCCGGCATGCTTACTTCAAGACTCAAGTCTTAAGTCTAATGGAGTTTTTGTTGGATTCTATGTCCAATTAGCACACACCCAAGCATTTCTATATTTTAAAGACATTTTATTTTTTTAAACTAAAAAAATATTATAACGAAGAACCAATCAAATTTAACTCATTTATATTTGGTTTTTACAGTTCCATCTATCAATCAATATTTCCAGAAGTCATATATTAGTTTGTTTCCGATTAGTTCATGTTGAGTCAAGTTGAATTACATAACTGTTGTAAAGCTTTTCAATTAATAATTTTTTTTATATACATGACTCAAAACACTAAGCGTCAAACTAAATACACCTCTAGTTCTATTTATAGGTTAGAGAGAAGATTTTTTTTACCTATTTATAAGTCATATTATTAAATTTTTACCATGAATATATTATATTGTCCTTCATTTATTATACTGTAGATAGTTTTTTTTGTTGGGAAGGTGTATATATTAAATAAGGATAAAATTGAAAAGTTACTATATTTTAATGGAGAGTTAATGTAATTTAAAGTTTTACTTGGTATGTGTAAAACATGTTAGAAGTACCTTATAAATAAAACCAGATGAGTAATTGCTAATTGTCCAGACTTGTAGCTCAATTAATACCAAATATTTTTATTAAAATTTTATTAAACGTCAAGTTGTGAGTTCAAATTTTCAGTGAAGAATATAATGTGTATATGGGGTTATGGCCAAATATATATATATATGTAGACACACACATACAGTTGGTGATTCATCTTGCTTTCCAACTTCACCTGTTAATTTAATGAAATCTCACGGTGTTATTTCTCAACATACGAGCCTCTCATTTTCTTTTACCGAAGACGTGATTGATTAGCTTGGTTGTGCTACCTCTAATTCTTAGTATAAGAGCTAACAAAACAACTAATTTTAAGAGATTAAAAAAATTAGTTAAATTGATTAATTGTAACAAATATAAGTTGACTTTTCTAGACTACTCTTTTTAATCATTTGCGTGGAAACTCTCCTTTGGCAAGAACTTCTTATAATCAATAAGATATTTTAAAGAAAACATTATGAATTTGAAAAACAAAGTGATAGGCTGTGGTTTAATATTTAGAATCAAATCTTATGTCCAACTAGATTTCATGTTAAAGACGGAATGTTCTATTTTCTGACACGGATTAGTTCATAAGTAATTTGCCATTCCAATTCCAATTTCCAAGATTCGAGTTTCAACCAAAAAGCAACTCAATACCTCAAGAAATTTTCATGTGTTTATTACCGAACCATATATCCTGTCACCTTGTTGCTTAGTGCCAAGTTAAGGGCACATTATATTTTTTTTCTTCCAGATGTAAATGAACTCACTGAAATTGAATAATTAAACGATATGCATATGCTTCATGTTTTGCAACTGGAGATTCAACTGGCTGGCTTCCAGCTTTTGATGACTTACCAAAAGTTTGGAATCCAAGCATAATATTGAGTCAGATAATCTTTTAGGACACAAAGTTTTACTTTGAATATACCTCTTATCCTTAATATAAGATGACTAATTTAAGTAGATCGAAAAAAATTACTCCTCCGGTCCTTAATATAGAACCCAATTCTTGAGTTGGTCTTGGTCCTAAATATAAGACCCATTTCTCATATTTATTAATTTTTTCTAAATTACCCTTATGGATACTCCCTCAACCATAATCAAGTAGAAGAGGGAGAGGGAGTATTAAGAAAGATGAAATTTGTCACTTTTCTTCTAATTAACTAACTTACCTAACTTCCTTAATCTAATCAAATTAGTTAAATGGGTCTTATATTAAGAACCGGAGGAGTAGTTACATTAGTTATTTGTAATAAATAGGTTTTATCTTCCCTAAAATACCCTTACCAATTATATGTCATTTGATGAAACATTTAATATATGTAATTACTATTAGAATCACTTTAGAAAAAATAGATAAATATGATTAAAAAAAATATCACAATACTATATTTAAAACTAAATTAAAAATCAAACCAGTTTTTATATTAAATACTAGATGCAGTGTAATGCACAAACACTTTTTATTTGGTGCAAGAATCTAGATTATATTGTCTTTTCGTGGTTTTCTGTGTTGTGTCGGTCAAATGGGGATTGAAGATAATCTTTGATCTGAAAGATATGAAGCCGTTTACATGCATTCCTATGAAAACATAATCTCACACGAATCTTCACAAAGTCTTCAAATTTGACCCCATGGTATATGTAGTTTGTATTATTTACAGACATGGCCTGAAGTAAAGGCTAAACAAGTACAAGAATCTCCCAATTCAAATCCGAATAGATACCGCCCGAGTAAACTTTTTGTCTTTTGTGTCTTATTTAAATCATTCTTAACCTTTACAGCTTCGTCATGAAACCACATCAAACCTTTCAATCTTTGCGGGCTCTTTATTGTTAATCCATGATTGTACTAATTCTAATGTAATGTGTTAGGGGCAATATAAAGCCTCTGAATTCCAATTTTTGTGCAAATAATTCCTTTTACTTATGCATATATAATTTTGACAAAATATGTTTTATTAATGAAATAAAGATCTAATTAATTACTGCAGTATCTACTATATAGTGAACCCTTATCTAATATGGTGTGGGAGTATTTGATAAGGGCAATTTGCTAATTTCACTGTTAACCTTAAAAAATAAGAAGAAGAAAAAGAGAAAAATAATTTGCTTTCTTATACAGTTTGAAGGGCACAAAAAGATAGGAAAGAATAATGTGTTCCTAAAGACTCTCTTTCTACCCAAATCTCTGGTTGACAAAATCCTGAAGTTATGGAGCTCATTATTCCTCCCCCTTTCTCAATCTTCATTGGGTAGAGAAAGTGTCCAAATTCAATCTACTATCAATCCTATCAAACAAGATGGTACTCCTCCGGTCCTTAATATAGGACCCAATTCTTGAGTTGATTTTAGTCCTAAATATAAGACCCATTTATCATATTTATCAATTTTCTCTAAATTACCCCTACAGATACTCCCTCAACCATAATCAAATAGAAGAGGGAGATGAGGTATTAAAAAAGATGATTATGGTGTTTTAGGAAAAATGTGTTACTTTTCTTATAATTAACTAACTTACCTAATTTCCTTAATTTAGTCAAATTAATTAAATGGGTCTTACATTAAGGACCGGAGGAGTATTAAATTAATCATATGTATGTGAATTGTGTTGAGTGATTTTAAGACTTTACAGTCAGTCAGTGTAAAGGGGAAAAGAACTAGTAAGATTCTACCCACAAGGAGAGAGAATTTAAAGAGTTGGATTTTTAGCAAGATGTGATAAGATTCAACGTTACAAGATCTGAAGGATTTGATTTTTTTTTTTATTCTTTTCTTTTCATTAAATATGCCCATAGAGCAAATCAATCTGTGTGTATCCCTCTGAATAAATATTTGTGTATACTGACAAGCATGCATCAGTATGTGTGAGAGGTTCATATAAGAGCCAGTCCTTTTACGATTTTTTATGCTTGTACTGCTCTTTTAGACATTGAATTTAAATTTAAATTTACTTTTATAAAAATAACATGTTCATTCGGAAAAAAAAAAAAAAAGTCTGTCATTGTTCTATTCCCTCCCTCCAGAAGGGCTTTCTGATTAAAGATCTACATAAGCCATATCCTTTCAGATATAAATTCAATTGGCAAGAAAAAAGAAGATCACATCTTATTTCATTAATCTGGGTTTGATTTCCGCTAGAAGTACTTAAGAGTAAAAAGTTAGGCCAATTAGAGAATCTCTCAAACCGTAGTATAATTAAAAAGAAATTGAACATTGAACATAAAAAAGACATGAATACGACGAGGAAAAGATATGGATTAACATGCCTCTCGTGAATGAGAAGGTTTGATTTTCTTAATATAACTATTTATCTCCGCGCCTTGATTTCAAGGAGTGTGCCACAAGCTGCTTAGGTTTTCAACCATCACAATCTCGTACTACTTAAACAATTGAAGCAGTAAAGTTCAAGCAACCAGAGTTTTACTTTACCGTCTAATTTTCGAAACGCGCCCCCTTCAATTTTTAATGAGAGATACATCAGAAAATGAGAGAATAACTTGATGAGAACAATCACTTGCAATGAGATTACAAAAGGTAACCAACCATCTTGAGGATCATCTTACATTACAAATGGATCATCATACAATAACTTTTTCTTTTCAAATAACTAGCTTGTTCTCTTATATCTGAAGACACTAAAATCTAGATAGAATTATCAATCTAAGAAGTAAACTGGCTTTTTTTTTTTGTAAAAGTAATAAAAGGATTACAAAACAGAGGTTCGTACCTCAAGTAAAACGAAGTCTCCGAGTGGCATAGCCAATAGCATCTAGATCAAGAGTTTCACTAAAAATAGGGAAGTGTTGTAAACTGCCATTTAATCCTGTTCACCCCCCACCCCGAATAACAAAAGTTGATCTATGTATTTCAAGCAACAAGTCTTAAAACATCATCATGTATCTACTGAAAGTGGCGCTAAAGAAAGAAGCCACAACAAAAATCAGCAAGCTAGCCCTTTCATAAATATGAGTTAACCGGAACCTTCATTAATGAAACCATCCTTGCGACCTTCAAAACCAGGCCGCATAAGCTTTTTCTCCCTCTTTGCAATTCTACGCATTTTCTTCTGATGAATCCTCTCAGCTATATTTTCAGATCTTCTTTGCTGTTTCTCTGCTTTCATTTTCTCCCTGGTATCCATTCTCTCCTTCCATTTCTCTGAATTTTTCTGTTGTCTCTTCTTCTCTTTCTTTATGCTTTTCTCTAACAGTTTTGGATCATCATGAACCTTAATTCCTGCAGCCCTATCCATCGCTGCTTTCCATGATTGCTTTTTTGCAATAACCTCACCTTTCTCAGGATCTTTCTTTGCTTCTTCAAGTTTTTTTGCCTCTTCAAGTTCGTTATGTATCGACATTTTTCTCTTTTTCTTCCCTTGCCTTTCCTCATTATCAAGTTTGACACGGCCAAACATGAGGTCTTTTGAAGCCTCTACAACATCCTTCTTCCTTTTCTCTATTGACCCATTACATTCAGCTTTACTTTCTTCATTCCCATCATTTCTCTTGCGTTTCTTATTCTGAATTCCTCCCTTCACATTTCTCTCATCCCTTTTCTTCTCTCTATTGGAATTTCCACAGTTACGATTTGCCCGAAACTCTTCAATTTTGCGATGAAGCCTTTGTCGAAGTTCTTCATATGTCACTGACTGATCATTGCCTTTAAGACCCGAAACTGAAGTTAAAGGATCCGCATCCATTTGCTCATCATGGCTCTCGTTCAACTTTCCTTTGTCCAAGCTTTGCTTAAGCAGGTCAAGCGTTGTGACACTAGGCTTCTCTGGGTCCAAACGTTCCCTTCGAGATTTCTTAATATTTTCCCTCGTCTCTTTCTTTGCCGCAGCTTTTTCAGCCTTGCTCAGACCCTGAAACCACGGTTTCTCATCATCAATTGGTAGATAGAACTTGGCTGGTATGAGCTCAATTAACTTGTCAAAGAAGACTCTATGCTGCTGAATAATAGACTCCAAATCTTGAGCAGCATCGGTATCCTCCAGAGACTTTTGTGTTTTCTTCTTCATCTGCACGGAAATAATGTACAAGGAAGATTGAGTGTAAATGAGAATATGGTTCAATTTCTTCTGTTCAATATTACTCGAAATTGTGCTGAAGACAATATCAAGCATCTTGAGCGGGAATTTAAAGGGTATATTAAGCTAGACAAGATGGGTGGAAGTCAATGAAGCACCACTTCATTTAGATGACTTTAAATGTCTTTCCTAAGACCTACAAAGCTTGAAATCCGGAATTCATTGAGGTTTGAATGCTTTGCTTATCTCGCCAGCAGGTTAACAAATAACGATACCTAAAGACTATCAAACACAAAATAAGAGAAGCCTTTATAAGTTCTTCATCGCTAAGTTTGACGCTTTTTAATTCTAGTCTAGAGAATCCGTTCAGGTTAATTCATTTTAATAAGCAATCAAGCCACTCACGAAAAAGTGGGGAAACCTAAATATAAAAAACGTAATTACAAAACATGAAAGAACACGAAATGGGAAGACCTAAAATCGTGTTCTTTAACATCAAAAACTAAAGAAAGACAGAGGAAAGGGGGAGCAAACGAACGGAATCTTACCCGCGAGAGAATGCAATTCACCGTCGACAACAAACTTCTTCCGCCGCTGCTAACGGAGAAGAATGAAACGGAGAAACGAAAGGGCGAATGTGGAAGGGGAGAAAAGGGCTGATTGACGGATTCACGGCCGTAAGCGAAAAGCTTGGGTTGGGCCAATAAAAATGCAGCCTAAGTCCAGCCACTCAATTGGGCTTGAAGTTTGGCCCAAACAAAATGGGGCTGAAGAGTTGAAGATCTGCGGCGATTAAAGAAGAATACGCTACCAATGGGGTTGGGTCTAGTAGAAGGGACTAGTCTCTCACAACATGGTGAACTAAGGTTCGAATCCCTGTTGAGAGATGTGCCCACATTTAGTGCCCGACAGTGCCTCAAATAGGATTGCCTCCAATAGGAGGATACCTATGCTTTAGCTCAAAAAAAAAAAAAAAGAATATGCTGGAAAATATTACCAATTTTTTTCTTAATATTTAAATTTTTTATGAATTTTAAATTATAATGAATAACTTTGTTTTTATTAAAATATGAACAAAATTATTAAGTGATATTTTCTAAAACCAATCATTCTAATCATATTTGAGCTACTTAACAAGCTCTCTCTGTGTTTTTTTTTTCTTTTGGTTTCACCAGAAGGCATCAAACTTTTGATTTTTAACTATAACTCCTCCCATATTTACTACCTGTGTTAGCCTTAAATAGATAAAAATTATATTTTCGAATATGCACAAATTTCCTAAATGATTGATACAAATAATATGAAGAAGAGATTTTTTTTTGGAGTTGTTTACGCGAAAATCATATTTTTTTAAAAAAAAGAAGTCACTTAACCTGTTATAATTTTTTAAATACATGTGTCTTGAACCTCATATATTGTAAGTAACTCTAATTCATGACTTCACTTGTGAACCAGGATTTTCTCCCCTTGTCTTCCCCCTAACACGGATTTACAAGGCAAGAAAATATGGTTATTGGTAAGCTTAAAGTTAATTTAAAAAAAGGGGAAAATCTTGGGAGCTGATTTTCATTTCTCTATAATAAAAATAATTTCTTTTAAAAATATTTTCCAATCTCATTTATAAGTCACTTTCAATATTTTTATATAAATAAAAAAACTTAAAATTCATTAATTTTGTCTAAAAATTAAATAAATTTTCTACTCTGCCTCTAATAAATACATTTGAAAAATGTTTCATATTTCTACACATTAACAGTGAAAATAAAAAAATACAATAAATAATTTATATGATATCTTGTTAAAAAAAAAAACAGAGAGAGAGAGAGCATGACATTTTTCATATGATTGAGCAAAGAAGCATATTGTAAACTTTATTTGTAAAAGTAATTGCTAGAGTTAAAAAAAATGATACCAACGGGACAGCATTTAATTCTGGGGCAATAAATGCCTTAACTTCTTATTCTTATTTATATAGGTGGCGCCAAAACTAAGAATTGGGATGAAGCAAAGAGAAAGAGTGGAAGAAATCAAGAACGTTAGTTGGCTAAGTTTGAACGGTTGCTAAAGCCCACATTCTTTCCTTCATTTTCAATCTTCCTGGTGATCATTTTTGTCAAACTGTATCAGGACGTTTGAAAAGTGTATCAATGCAAATAATGTTGCCATCACCCAATCGTCTAAGACTGGTAGTCACCGCCAGCCAGCTACTACCAACCCATTTAGATATGGAACTGACATTATCTCTTCCTATTTATGAGCTCCCCTCTCACTGCCACTGCTTTGCCTGCTTGTTGAAGAGGGACCTGAAAAGCTCCTGACTTCCCCTGGTTGTTATATTATCACTTTTCCTTGAAGTAAGTATCTGATGACTCAAACTTACACTTCCTTGCTTTTGGCCTAAAAAAAAAACACTTACACTTCACTGCCATGTGGGTCTGCACTTTCTCCTTTATCCAATTCACAGTCTGAGACCATATCAGGTCGCATGCATGGCCAGCCACACGAAATGAATGATAGTTTTCCATTTGTAATGTTATAGACGTCAGGGCCCTACAAAAACAAGGGCAGCAAAAGAGATTCTTAGATATTATAAGAAGATCAACTAACTATGAATAGACATACGTCAACTTGTTAGTTTATTTTCAATGGGACTCTATGTAACTAAGAATACGTATGTGTAACATACGAAATTTTGATAAATCTATACTCCGTCACTTATGAGGCAACTTAGTAGGTCACTTTATATAATACACAACTTCAAAAGGCACTCTTACTGTATTAACTTAGTTCTGATACCCATCTGTAATTTAATCTTAAGGAGGGTTTACTTGCCACTTGATCACATATTCATCTGCAGCTATAACATGGCTCAGGAACTGGACAAACCATTGCTTGATCCTGAGAGTTTCAATCGCGAGGGTATTGATTTGGTATGTTTTTCCACAAATGGTGGGATTAACAACCAAAAATATATAAGCCATTGCAATTTCAAATTTAATTTGTACTGAAGAGTAGCCCTCTCAATTGATTTTTCTCAGCTACGTATGCCGTTAGAAGAAGTGTTTGAACAGTTAAGAACATCGCGAAGAGGACTTTCAACTGAAGAAGCTGAAGCTAGGCTGTTAATATTTGGCCCTAACGAACTTGAAGAGAAGAAAGTAAGCATACTTCGTGAATGTATTTAATGGCCATAGCTTTGTGCTATAGAATTTGAAGCCTGAGGAAATTGATTATTTAAGAAGTTAAAGCACCTTGTTCATGGGCGACAATGTTGAATTCCATGTTAATTTAACAATGGCCTAAAGTGCTTCATCTGTTCTATTTTTGAATGTTGATGCAGGAGAATAAAATACTGAAATTTCTGAGTTTTATGTGGAATCCTCTGTCATGGGTTATGGAAGCAGCAGCAATCATGGCAATTGTTCTTGCTAATGGGGGAGTGAGTAGAGAACATAATCTATGTTCTGCAGTGATAATTTGTCTCTCATATTTTCATTCACTGTGTTATCTCACTATTTTATCTCTCATTTCCCTCATTGGGTATCATATTTTTAGGGGGAAGGTCCTGATTGGCAAGACTTTGTAGGAATTATATGCCTGCTATTAATAAACTCAACAATCAGTTTTATAGAAGAAAATAATGCTGGGAATGCTGCAGCAGCACTGATGGCTCGTTTAGCTCCTAAAACAAAGGTATGTCTCTTTGTTAATGATCTCCATCTGTTAGAAATTTTTTCACACGTCTTGCTTATCGGCCAAATCTCCTTAGATCAATTGATAATCTTCGTCTTGGAGAATCATTATCTGTGAACAAAGTCCTAGCTATTTTGGAAGTTTCTTTTTCTTTTGTGATTTTGTTTTCAGTCCTTAGTTTGCGAGTTCCTAGGAAATACATGGATGCTTATTATGCATAAGTTAGAAGTTTCAAATTTGTTAACACTTAAGCCAATTTATATGGCCGCACGTTATTCAAAGCGATTGAAGGAGTGGTAATCTTAGAAAGATGTTGGAATTGGTAGTTTTTAAGTAATTATTCATTGTGGGGGATGGGGATTCTATGGTTCTTCATACATTCTCAAATCATGATATAACTCCTGCTTTTCTGGCTGCAACATTGATACATTTTAGTTCTGAAATGTCCTTGTATTCAACAAAAGGAATTCTTTGGTAAACTATCAAATTATCCAGGTTCTTAGAGATGGGCGCTGGCAAGAGCAAGATGCATCTATATTAGTACCTGGAGATATAATCAGCATAAAGCTGGGAGACATCATCCCAGCTGATGCTCGCCTGCTTGAAGGAGATCCTCTGAAAATTGACCAGGCAAGTATCTCATAAATTATGATCGAAATTTTTAGTTCTTTGCCATAGTCATCTAATGGCTTCAATACTTAGATTCTAGTCACATAAATTATTTTTTAAGTGGTTAAAATGAGATCATATGCTGTCTTATTTTAAGGCTTAAATGTTATTCCATGCAGTCAGCTCTCACCGGAGAATCTCTTCCAGTTACTAAGAAGACAGGTGATGAAGTCTTTTCTGGTTCAACCTGTAAGCATGGTGAGATAGAAGCTGTGGTGATTGCCACTGGAGTTCACACATTTTTCGGAAAGGCAGCGCACTTGGTTGACACTACTGAAGTTGTCGGGCATTTTCAGCAGGTGGATTCATAAAAACTTAATCATTTTCTTGTATGGTTCACTTAATAAGGAACAAAACCAAATCAATATGTTAATAACGAGATATAAGCTAAGTTGATTACATGAAATACAGTGTTTCTGAGGATCTTAATTAGGACATAACTTCGGTGCAGTTTTAGCTGTCTTCAATTGGGCACTCCATTAAAAAAATGTGACAAATGGGAACCTTCACAGCTTGGCATGACATGATTGGATACTTAAAAATGTTTCTTCAAATGCTATTTCATCTAATTGCCTCATTTCAATTTTAATAATGCAAACTATGGCTATTGATCCTCCTGAGTAGGTTTTCCATTTCATGTGATCCCCTTCTAATTTGTGATAAATTTCCAGTGCAACGTGACAATCTCTTCTGCAAATTTTTGATATTTCTATGAAAATTTTTGGAGTTTTCATATTTTTGAGACATGCGAGCTCTACCTTTTTATCATATGATTCGATATCCCTAAGTTGCTTGAGCCGCAACATGGCATGATAATAATGAATAAATGAAAGCTTGAGCTAATGTAACACTGTCCAAGCTAAACTTGAACAGAATCTTTCAAACTGTCGCCCATTGTAAGTTTGAAATTATTTGATCAGTCATTAAAAATTTCAAAATCAACGTTGCCCTCAGCTTTATTGACTGATTTCTGCAGGTCCTAACGGCAATTGGGAACTTCTGCATTTGCTCTATAGCTGTAGGAATGGTTCTTGAAATCATTGTGATGTTCCCAATACAGCATCGCTCATATAGGGATGGAATCAACAACCTACTTGTTCTCTTAATCGGAGGAATACCAATAGCCATGCCAACAGTGTTATCTGTTACACTTGCAGTTGGCTCTCACAGACTTTCACAGCAGGTGAAACTTTAATGGATTTCAGCAAATAACATGGTATAATTAGGATCAAATTCATCTCCACAAACTTTAGTTTATCTACAAATGAACGAGGTTAAGCTATTGTTAAACACGACTGAATGCTACGCTAATTGGTGTATGCTTCGTTCAAAATTTATGGCACTGTAGTAGATTTATAAGCTAGTCATGTGATCTTTATAATCACTTATTTTACTGTGAAGGGAGCCATCACAAAAAGAATGACAGCAATTGAAGAAATGGCAGGCATGGATGTCCTTTGCAGTGACAAAACTGGAACTCTTACCCTGAATCGCCTCACTGTTGATAGAAGCCTCATTGAGGTACAGTGCAATAAATTCCCTTCTCATCAGTAAATTCATCATAAAAAAATTGAAACGAATAAGCTCACCCGAACTGGTTATGAAACCACACCTGACATATGCTTCCATCCCTCTAAATAAATAAAAAATTACAGTCTCTTCATGCATACAAACATGATCTAAATTCAAAGTTGTCCGATGGTTTATAAATTCTTATTCATAACTGCATAGCTGATAGTTTTTCTTCTCCTGTGTCTTGTTTGGTTCCGAAGTCTGTCCAAGGAACTGTTGGGAGATCTTGTCCGTTGGTTGCCTGAATCACTTGTAGAATTTCACATGTCTGTTTTACATATAACACAGGTCTTTGACAGAAATATGGACAGAGATAAGGTTGTCCTACTAGCGGCCAGAGCAGCTAGACTGGATAACCAGGATGCCATTGATTCTGCCATTGTTAATATGCTGTCTGATTCAATGGAGGTAGAGTTTAAGGATTCTATTTTTATGTTAGTTCTGAACATTTCCTTCCCTCATTCTTTTATAGTAGATACTTATAAAAGGAACAATTTCTTATCCCCCCTTGCAGGCGCGTGCAAACATAACTGAAGTTCATTTTCTACCTTTCAACCCAGTAGATAAACGTACTGCAATTACATATATTGATTCTGAAGGCAACTGGTATAGAGCCAGCAAAGGAGCTCCTGAACAGGTACGCAAACTTAGGAAAGGCACTGACTGCACAACACTTGCATTATCGCCTGATTTTTCCTCAGCCGACTTTTCTAATACTATCCGTCTATATATGTGCCTCAAAAGATCTTATTTTTTCGACAAGAAAACATATTCACAGAGAGAAGAAGCATCCTGATTAATGGAAGACAAGTTCACAATTTCATCCATCAAAGTTATTAGACTGCCTTCTTGAATTTTGAAACACACATTAACACTCTTGTTTATATATCCTGAATATCAGATTCTAAGTATGTGCCAAGACAAAGATGAGATTGCTGGGAAAGTGCATGCAATCATTGACAAGTTTGCTGAAAGGGGCCTGCGATCTCTTGCTGTCGCTTATCAGGTATAGCAGCTTGCATATCCTTCCCTATCTCATCCTTTCCTGAAACGTTTAATGCAATGAAGCAAACACACTTCAAAATTTCAATCATAACCATTAGAGTTTCATAATGAGAGAAGTTATATAAAAATTTTCCCAGGAAGTTCCTGAAAAATCTAAGGGTAGTCCTGGAGGTCCCTGGACCTTCTGTGGGTTGTTGCCGTTGTTTGATCCTCCAAGACAGGATAGTGCTGAGACCATTCGTAGAGCACTTAATCTTGGAGTCTGTGTCAAGATGATTACAGGTAAATTGATCATTTTAGAACGTTTACATTGTTTGATTGTGTTTCTAGTAGAATGTATTTCATTTCTGTGCTGGAGTTGACATTTATCTTGTTTCTTTGTTTATGTGGTTAGTAAATCAGATATTAATGAGAAAGTAAAGTGAAATTTAAGACTTGTAGGCAATCATCTTTTCATTCTCTTAAGCTTCATCTCAAAATTTATGGTCATGCATGACGTTCGAGGAATTCATTTTTTTCAACATTAACCACTCATCCAGTCGATGGCTTTCTTAGCAAGTCAGGTGTGCTCACCTTTATTTAATAAATCATATATTTTAAATTTTGTTATGCACCACATCCTTACTGGTATATCTCACTGATAAGCATAATACCATTCCGTTTTGGATTCTACACAACTCATCAACTAAATCAGATCCAGATGTTTAAAATAATAATTGTGTCACGCCCAGGCTTATCATCTGTGAATCAGATAACTTCGCTAATCATTTTGTAGGAATTATCTGTTCATTTAAATTCTACTAAAAGTCAACGGAAAAAGACACGTGGTTCAAAATGCTTCCCTCTAAAACATAATCATCTGCTAATTCCTGTGATTAAATATGTAAAGAAATTATGTTTGGTTTTCATTCTAGATCACGGGAAAAGTTTGGAGGAACTATTAATTACCATGTCATTACAGGGGATCAGTTAGCGATTGCAAAGGAAACAGGCCGAAGACTAGGTATGGGGACCAACATGTACCCTTCTTCATCATTGTTGGGCCATGACAAAGATCAAAATGAAGCTCTCCCAGCAGATGAGCTGATTGAAAAGGCGGACGGCTTTGCTGGTGTATTTCCTGGTATTTGGATCTGATATTTTGTGAAACAATTACTTCCTTTGGATCATATCTGCACTTCTTTTTTCTTTCATGCTAGAAAACTAGACACAAGTAAGCTTTTGAGCGATAAGATATGAGCAATTGACATAAATTAAATAAACTGCACAAACAGGTGAACATATTGAGCATTCCAATAAGGGATATGACCCAAACATAGGAAGAAGACCAGCTGTGTTGTCCATTACATTAATTTCAATGAATTCTTAGTGTGCAAGTCATTACGTACCTTGTACATACTTGCTAGAGTATCTCCTGACTTTTCACTGATTTTTTTCGGTCATCGCTACATTTTCAGAACACAAGTATGAAATTGTGAAAATCTTACAAGAAAAGAAGCATATAGTTGGAATGACTGGAGATGGTGTGAATGATGCACCGGCTTTAAAGAAGCAGATATTGGAATTGCTGTGTCAGATGCTACAGATGCTGCAAGAAGTGCTGCTGATCTAGTCTTAACTGAGCCTGGCTTAAGCGTGATTGTCAGCGCTGTGTTAACTAGCCGAGCTATATTTCAAAGAATGAAAAACTATACAGTTGAGTTTTGCAATTTTCCTTTTCCCTGTTTGAAGAAATCTTCTTTTCTGCATAAATATAATGTAACCTCAAGCTAGAAACCATGCAGATTAGAAAACCTGGTTTCTTCCTGCCAATAGCGATTATAAATGGAATGACTTGTGGTTAAAGTAGTTCGAAAATTGATCTTTGTTGTTTGCTGTAATGATCATATGAAACTGATAGCTTGTCTATAAATGCAGATTTATGCAGTTTCCATAACCATAAGGATAGTGGTAAGAAAAGTTCATTAATCGTATTTCAATATCTTTTTTCTTATGGTTTTCTTTTTTCCCCCCTTGGATCCAAACTTCTATCTAAATTGCAAACAAAATGCTTTTGCAGGTTGGTTTCGTGCTCCTGGCATTGATTTGGGAGTATGATTTTCCACCTTTCATGGTCCTGATCATAGCAATACTGAATGATGGTGAGTGGAAGCAATAAACAGGAACATAGGCACAAATTATATTTTCTTTGACTGTCCAAAATTTCCTTTCACATGCTTAGCTGATTGCTAGATGGAACATATAGTCACCAGCTTTTTGTCACTAATAGTAATTTAAGGACCATTATCACCAAATTCTAAGAAAAATGAAAGCGTGAAAATATGTTCCTTGGGTTACAGTGTCATTTCTACTGTTTGCTCGTTATAAATATATATATATATATATATATATTAAATTTCAAACTGGCCCCTGCCAATCGGGTGTGTATTTTTTTGTAATATTATTCCTGGAAATAAATATTCCGCATTAAAAAAACAACGACAAGCAGCTTTTCTTTTCTTCCCAGTTTGAGGGAACTTTGGTTGAACAAAGGCACTTTCTTTTTTTTGGGAGCCGATAAAGACTTCCTGTTGCGAGTTCTCTATGCTGAATCACGAACTCCAACTTTTAATTAGGAACTATCATGACCATATCCAAGGACAGGGTAAGACCATCTCCAACACCAGACAGTTGGAAGTTGCCTGAGATCTTTGCAACTGGAATTGTCATTGGCACTTATCTCGCTTTGATCACTGTCCTATTCTACTGGGCTGTAGCGAAGACCACTTTCTTTGAGGTATAAAACGTTGCGCTCTTTTTTTTTCCTCCCTCCCTTCAACCCTCAAAGCCAAAGTCCTTTGGAATGTAAGAGGAAAATATATTTAGTTTGACTTTACTCAATAAATATCCTTAAGTTGATTGATTTGTTGTTGACTTGTTGCAGACACACTTTCATGTAACCTCCTTGTCCAGCGACAGCGAGAAAGTTTCATCAGCTGTGTATCTTCAAGTTAGCATCATTAGCCAGGCTTTAATCTTTGTTACTCGTAGTCGAGGCTGGTCTTTTCTGGAGAGACCTGGAGTTCTGTTGATGTGTGCCTTTGTAATTGCACAGTTGGTAATTTCACCCAAACCTTTAAGGATGTTAGTCATGTTGAATTTCTTCAGTCCTATATTCGCTTGACTTTCAACAGTGACTCCACTTACTTCAATGCCTCCCATTAGGAGGGGTATTAATGCAAGGGAAAATCACTATAAGGTCTTAAAAAAGAAATGTAATCGCTAAAAAATCCCCAAGACCTGAACAGTATTTAATGACAAGTTGTAATGCAGGAACATGTTCATGCTACTCACTTGTCATTGAAACTCTTTGTTGATTACATTCTTTCATTGGGACCTCATAGTAATACTTCACTAATACAACCAGTCATGGGACATGGCTTGGCTTGAACAATTTTAAGTTTTTGATCCAAAATGATAGGAAAATCAAACAAAATCATTGTTTTGAATAATTGTTTTGATTTCTGCTTTATGTCATGCTCAGGTGGCAACCTTAATAGCTGTCTATGCACATATCAGCTTTGCGGAAATCAGGGGGATTGGATGGGGATGGGCTGGTGTGATATGGTTGTACAGTTTAGTCTTCTATATACCCTTGGACATTATCAAGTTCGTTGTGCGCTATGCCCTGAGCGGAGAAGCCTGGAATCTCTTATTTGATAGAAAGGTTAGTGCAGGTTTCTTCTTTTAGCTTTGATCACAACCGACTGAATCTTCACCCATACTGATTCAATCTATTTCAACAGACTGCTTTTACTTCAAAGAAAGACTACGGGAAGGAAGAGAGAGCTGCAAAATGGATTCTTTCTCAGAATACCCTGCAAGGCTTGGGTACCGTAAACTTGCGGGTCAATGCTAGGAGATCTTCTTTAATGGCAGAGCAGGCCAAACGAAGAGCTGAAATAGCCAGGTACATCTAACCTCGTTCTTTATGTATCAATTTTACTCTAAATTTATTCCCATCTCTTGTTATAACCAAATCCTATGGTTTAACTTATTTGTTGATACTTCTTTTTTTTCCCCTCCCCAGTGCCTTTTTCATTACACTTCCTACCTCTTAACAAAGTTGTGCTGTTGATTCATTTATATTTTGGGTTTTCATAGATTCATTACATTTTGCAGGTTGGGAGAATTACATACTTTGAGGGGTTATGTGGAGTCTGTTTTGAGACTAAAAAATTCAGACCAGAGCGTGATCCGATCAGCTTACACAGTTTGAAGGCAGCATACAAATCCTGATGCACAATCCTCACTAAAGGCAAACTTTGTTAGTTAAGGCTGCTCTGTTCAAAATTTTGTACCTGAAAGCCAAAGAAAGACTACATTCTAATGTTGAGTTTAGTGAGAGTAGTATTTGAAATACAAAATGATGTCAGAGAAAGTTGATCATTCTGCAAGCCAATCGATAAGGGAAAAAAATAAATTAAAATGAGAGTTTCATATAGCCACCTGATGCTGTTTAGATTCCATGAGTTATTGGATTATGTGTGAGAAACATCAGGATAAGACAAACAAGAAACAAAAGAACGAGAAGAATGGGAAAAAATTTGGAGTAAATTTGATACATTTCATTTGAGGTTTCATTCAAGAGATGAGACTTCCCCCTGTTTAAAATCTATAAACTAAACATTTTGTTGAGCTTTATTAAAATCACACGCTTAAAAATTAATGCCAACCTTTTCTGAAATCAAATAGTAATTGTGTGTGTGTGTGTATATATCTTGAAAATAAGAAGAAATATGAGACTGCCATAAAACTTTAAAGAACTAATAATCTTTGGAATTTAAAATAGGATTAAAGTGCAAAATTGCTTTGGAAGCTTTCACGCAAAAATATTGGGCACCCGGAAGTTTTGTTCCGTACAAACTTACTTCAAAAGTTTAAAATAATATTAATAATTTTCCTCCCTACCATCAAAAACATTAATTTTGACCGTTTACATTTTTAAACATAAGGAACAAAATTGCTATGATTTTAAATTTTTTGAGACAAATTTATATTCAAAAGGTGCTCCTAATTAAGAACTTTCGTAATAAATTTACACTTTAGCTCTTTAAAATAAATAACTAAGTCTTTCTCACGTATTTTATACATCAGGAAAATGAGGAAAATGAATCAAGCTTCGATAACAAATTTATATTCAATACGACAATTTATCTTATTTCAGTATAATTACGAAATTTTTTAGATTATTGTAATAATTCAAAGGTGACTGTAATTGAAGCTTAGAATATTCTACAAAGATTCTTTATGCTAATATGGATCGATATCGTCATGGTTAATTTTGAGAAACTTCATTGCCGTGTAAGCGGAGAAAATTTCTTGACCCCAAAAAAAAAAAAAAAGCGGAGAAAATTTCAAAATCATTGCCGCCGGAATTTCGAAATCAAACATTATGTGACTATACCAAAATTTACTGTGCATAGAAAGTGAAAACAGCACACTATCGTAAACTGTACAGGTAAGTATTGGTAGCATTTACCTTCCCTAACAAACGGTAAGTGGCGAACCTATGACATACTAATACAACATAATTACAAAGGGGCGGAAAGAAACGAAAATTCGTTCTTGCCTTCAATATTGTTGAATTGCCGCTTCAGATAACAAGAAATCCAACGCCTCCTTCACGTTTGCTTCATCGGGAGAAGTTTCAAAGAAAGTAGGGGGTAATGTGGGTTGGGGGGAAAAAAATTCCTTTCGAATGGGAATGAAGAGACTGATATGCTGTTCATTTTTCTTACTCCTTTTCTAAAGCAAACGCTTTGATAGACTTTTCTTGTTCCCATCCGCAAGGCCCCTTTTGACTGAGAAGGAAAATTGGAGCCGCCCTTATAGCAAGTTGAAAGGTAAATACACATCAAACTTACTTGATATTAGACCTGTGCAGGAAATGACCACAACCCCAACCCTTCTCTTTCCCCTTTTCTATTGTTGACAACAAAATTTGCAGAAAGATCTCTGCATCATTCTCAGATGCCAGTTCCAAGTTTGTCTGAGAAAGTGGAAGATTGCTAGAAAAGTGGTTGAATCGAGCCGCTCTTCTACCACCACCGCTACCTCTCTTGGGAACATGTTGGTGTTGCCTCAATAAGGCATCCGGCCTACTTCCAACAATGTGTACCATGCCTTGACCAGTGTCAGCGTGGATTACACTCTCCAATCCAATCTCCGAGTTGATTATCCACTCCAAGTCAGCCGGAATGCCACAGAATTCAGGTTTACCCAATTTTACCAAATTGGGACAGAAAACAATCAATAGGAATCTCTCTGTTAAAACAACAAACTTGCCATCTTCTCTGAGTGCTTTACAAACTACTAATACCTCATCTTTGTACTTCAAGCCATCATCGGCCTCCACGAGGACAGATGTTCCAACTGCTTCTTCCCAAGAGTATGGTCTTAATGGGAGCTCAACACTTAATGGCCTTGGAATACGAACCCTAAAACGCTGTGATCTTATTTGATTGGGTTTACTGCGGTTTCTAATACTGAGTGCAGTTTTTCCAGTAACTTCAAGAATACTAGCTGCTGGTTTGGCAACAAGTCCCGTTACCCCTAGAGCTATCCCTGCCCCCAGGAAAAAATAGACGTCAGAAAACCACTTTCAGTGGTTGACCAAAACGATGTACAACGACAATCACTGCGTCAATTTACAAAAGGGATTCAATTTATATCAGGAAAAGTTATTAAGATCATCCTAGCTGATTTACCAGAGAGGACACCAGGAAGACCATGTCTCTCAGCTCCTTGTATAGGTGACTGGAGAAGACCAGTGAGTCCCTGGAATCCAAAAAAGCAAGAAGAATGCATTTGAGCAATTACATATGAAGGCAGGACATGCAACATGAGCATCATCTTTACGATGACTGCTACTATTTCACTTTTTCCTTAGAGCTGCACAGATAGAACTTTACATGACTAATTCAAGTGCTGCACAGAACAGTCAAAATATAGAAAGAGAATGCAATCTATATACTCAATAGGAGAAAGGGCACAAGGTCAATAACGCAGTAGAGTATTTCTTGAAAAGCTATCACGTTGTTTCATTCACAAACCTCTAGTAGTTCATTAATTACTCCTTTACTGCCTGAAGTGACATTTAACGGTTGCTTTTCCGTTCTTGAAACTGCTTGATCATCATATGTAAATGCAACAATACCCTGAAAAAATAACAAATGTTAATAATAGTCCAGTTTTGTTATTTTGGGATGAAATCATTATGACATTGAAAGAAGAAACACCTTGCGAGCAGCTTTACTGAACTGAGAAGTTGCATCACTAATGGCATAGACTGTGTTGCTTAAAAGACTAGTGGTGCCTTGGGCCATGCCAGTAATAAGTCCAACAGGGCTCTGACAAATGAGTCAATGATTCTAAATAATCAGTTTATTGAGGTTTCACAGGAGGGCTGAAAAAGGGTTAGCCAAATTATGATTCTTACCTTCGTAATGCTTTTGGCAGGCACAGACAAGAAATCTCTAATACCGAGGCTCATGCTCCTTGCAAAGCCCATGGGATTACCAATAACACCGGCCGAACCAAACAACTTCAATTTCAGAAAGAGGTGCAAGGTGTCAGATATGAAAGCAACACCGAGATGTTTGCACATTTAGAGGAGAAGAGCTCCCCATATAATCATGTAACTCTAATGGTTAATGAAAGCAATAAAATTCAGATATTTAAAAGTGGAGAAGAGCTCCCGATGTAATCATGTAAATTTATTAATTTTTTGAATTCAACATTTGGAAGCCAACTACATAAGCGCAAGTTGAAATCATTTCAAAACAACAGACTTAACCCCAATCCAGTTATCAAGACGTACTCAATGTCTAGAATAACGATGAGGGAATGATTTTTGCACCATCATGTCTGCTTGACATGTATTTGCATGAATAAAGAAACCCCTGTAAAGTCCCTTTTTACCTTGTAGATCTCATGAAGCAGTTGTCGAGTGTAATGTTTGATAAGAACCTCCCGAATAGACTCCAGACTAGCCATATGATGAGCTATTGTTAACTCCTTCATATAGATTCGTGCTCCTTCAACATCAGCAAGGGCCATCAAACCCCTCTGTAATTAATTATAACTTAATAAGAAAATCAAGTTTTGAGATGAGTTGATTCACTAGAATATGTTCATGTCTCTGAAAATAGATGTATATTTTATTGTATTGGTTTTTCATTGTTCAAATGGATAAGATGCCTTAAAAATCTAAAATTATATCTATTTGATTATTATCGGTCCAATTCAGCTTGAACAATTGAGCCAGTGCTTTCACCTATTCAATAACTTAGTCAAAATATATTGTCACGAATCCTTCACATAAATTAACAGCTTACATGGATAATAGATTCTTTGGACGTGAGGATTCGATTTTGAAGCATCCATGGGGCACTAGAAAAACTGCATCAAGTAGGGGATAAATCAAAAACAGGAATTTACAAACTACAATTTTGATGGAACATAATGAAGAATAAATGACCTTAATGTCAATTTGATTGGTGCCAATTCAAGCACTTCAATGTAAATTTTCTTCTGTGTTTTGGATAAAAGATAAATATGCTGCCATGGGGCGCCAATTGGAACTATGGAAGGCAATGACACATTGCGTTTGGAGCTTCCATTATAGACAGGAGTGATCAGTGCAGGATACTGATTATCCCTTGAAATAAAATTCTCAATAGACTGAACAGATAATGAGGAATCCTTTACTGAATCCCCATCGGAGTGATGGGAAGATGACATGATTAGATACTGAAGCGTAGAAGCAGCTTGTGTAAAGAACTCAAATAAGCTTAATATGACCTCTTGCTCAAGTTCCAGACAAAAGTCCGCAATGCTGCAAGCATTGAATATAACATGAGGAGTTAGAAGAATATAAACACAAAGCAATGCAAACAACTATAAACTCAAAATAAGCACCAAATTAAGCATAAGATGTACCTCAATTTTATGTATTCAAATGAAACAAATGAAATGTCTTTCTTTCTCCATTTTGATATCGCTAGGAAGAACACAGGATCATGGAAGCTGTTAAAGCAATTCATTTGATTTATTTTCTCCGCTCGTCTTGCAACATCGTCCTTAGATTTCATATTGTCAGCCTCATAGGATTTGTATTCTCTATCAAAGGACAACATAACTGGATATGGAGTAGACCGCAATTGGTTATCAACTTGTAAAAATGAGATCTCAAAAGAAAGACTCTGCCGATCCAAGCTTTGAAGCAGATAGGTTCTTAAGTCCTTCATACAGACAAAAAGCAATTCCTACAACAATGATAACTGTTTAACAGAGGTTGAAGACAGCCAAGAAATATATAAAAAAGATAAGCAGTTCAAATACCTGTGAATAAGAATTAATCAAAGAGATACCAAGATATGGAATAACAATTGATATTTTCTCCTTGTACTCTGGCAGTTCGGCAAGATTATGATCGTGTAGCTTTTTCCCTGCAGAATGTGAGAGACCTGGCATCTTTACATTACTAGGAACATGGCAGTTTGAATCAAGAACACTGAGGACCTGCAAGAAATAGAAGTTAACAGGGGATAAGAATGGAGATATTGGCGTGTCATATTTGTAAGGAACAAAGGCACTATGGATTCATACCTTTGTTGCACCCTCTGCATGGACTGATAAAAAGAATGTCCTCTCTGGCTTCTGAAACCATCATCAGTGCAAACAATCATGAGCATCATGAAAGCTGAACTTAAGCCCAAAGATTTAGTAATATAATTAAATCAAGAGATTATAAACCATTACTGAATTTCCCCAAAAAAAAAAAGGGGCATTCACAACTATTTCAATATTAACTACTGAAACACATGCATCAATATGTCAAGCAAACAACAGTTAGGAGCTTCCAAAGGGACATGTTTGGAGAAAATGAGCAAGAGGAATATATTGAGAAAAGGCCACAGTTTACCTCTGAGGTGGGCGGTAAGTAGACAGGAATATATTCTTTCACGTCGTCAAGGGCATATGATCCTAAAACTCGCTCTCCGGGTACCTTTAATGACAACAAACCTTGTCAGGAAAAGTCATTGAAATTCAATATTTTTAAATACAAAAATGGTTTACCTCCACACTAAGACGATGAGGATAGCACGGTTCATCCCAGGCATAAAGGCATGACGTATAGGAGTGAACAACAGTCTCAAACATTTCACATCTCTGCTGATATATTCTCAATCTCTACAAAGCAGCAAGAGCAGGGAAGAAATTTCAATGAGCATTGAACGTGAAAAAGAAAACACCGGACATTCTTTTGACATTAAGTGCTTGACAGCTGCAAAAGTTTAAATAAGTCTACTTATCATTCATCTTCAATGCATACAAAACAACTAACTCGATGTCAAGATGTGGCAAAATAATAAAAAACTAACAAGAACCGTTAAAGATAGTGAAAGGCCAAAGATGCTCTTGAAGCGTTGAGCTTCTAAAATGCCTTAGGCAAGAGATCACAGAAGAATGCACGCCCAAATGATGCGAGATGCTAAAATGAAGCCAAAAATATGTTACATGTTTTTTTTTAAAAAAAAATAGATATTTGTAAATTTAGAGTAACATTTGGGTTTAGAAAAACATGAAGTCTGAATAATATTTAAAGACAAGAATAATTAACCTATCCTATTCTCTTGGATGTCGAAGGCTGCACCTCTGAGGTTGCATTTTGATAGTTTCTTATTTACACCTATTGATATTTTGTATTTTTGGGCTAGGCCTGTAAGCTAACCCTTCTCATGTTGCTCGCAAAATAAGAGGCACCCGAAGTGCATGCCTAGAACAAGGGAACAAAAGCCAGAGGTGCACGCCTTCCTGTACCCAATTGAAGGCAGCACCTCCCCCGGTGTGAGAGGTGCCAGCCACAAATAGCGACTTGCTTCCGCCCCTTGGGTCTGAGGTGAATGCCTTTGACATCACTTGAACCGTTAACTTTAAAATAGAAGTAGAAATTAACATATCCACTACTACCATAGTGACATGAAAAGATAAAAAAAGCAGAACACAGATATTGACTGACATATGACAATTAACTGTTTGTAATCATATTATAGTATAGTAAATCAAGTCAAAGAGGAATGTCTAAAGGAAAGCCCAATCTTATTTGGGCCCCAAGAAGTGCTGGTTGTAGCTGGGGAAAAAAAAAGGGACAAACCTCCTTTGAGAAATTATCAATTCTGTATGGCATATAGCCAGTGTCATCATTTGACAAGAGGATCAATATAGTCCCTGAGTTTCCTTTGATGCTTCCAACAATTTTTTCATCACCCATGGATATATCGGCATTTTGCACTTCAACTCGTATCATATGTATGGTTCCAGAAACGAAGTTCCTCATTTTTAATTGAGTATCACCTAGGTGATCTGGTAAGAAACTTCCAGACCACTGCCATCCAGGTTCATCATAAGATATTGAAACAACCAGGTCCCTGTGCACATTACAATTGTTTAAATGAAACGAAGGAAGAAGGAGAAGGTGCCTTGCAAAAATTAGTACTACAACAACAGAGAATAAACAGGCATCAAATATCACATAATATAAAAATAGACATTTTAGAGTATAATTTTCAACAATCCAATTACTGCATGATGAAAGTGTATTATACTAACCATACAGGAAAAACCTTAGTTAATTTTGCAAAGAATATGATTTGAATCAAGCACACACAAGTGAGAACATTTGCACAAATGAAGCCGTTGAATAAATTTTTATAGAATGCATTACTCTCCTACCACTTCATGAAGAAAAATGTTACGCTGATCATGCATGCAAGATTTTAAATAAATTGTTACATGTGAGCAAGTTTGATTTAAATAGCTGAAAGCTCATTTAGAACGTCAGCATGAACACACAGCTCAAGAATGGGGTGAAAAGCACAATTAAGTAGGGTGTAGGACAAGGAGGGAAGAGGTAGAGGGGATGAAGAAAAGCGGAACAAATAAGAGATAAAAGAGGGAGAAAAGGAAGAAGCAGACCAATAGGGGAAGAGAGCTGACAAAGCGAATTTAGTTTCAATAACAATTCATTAACAGGGTCCACAATGAAAATAACCCCAGGCTAGGCTATCTAGAGAGCCCTAACAACAACGACAACAACAAACTTAATATAAAGTCAACTTGAATTAAAAATAAAAGAAAAGCTGGCTTAAACTCCAATAAAAGAAAGCGAAAAAGAGTAAACAGCTTAAGAACACCTGATACAAAACGAAAAAAAGTCATAAGAATAAATTACTACTACATAAAATAAAGGTTTCCTAGTTTCTCTTCATTTCTCCCTTGCATGAAAGAACTCTCCCATGGAGAGTAACATTGCCAATATGATTCCAATATGCCAAGATGAGAGCAAGCAACCCCTCCAATTAGCATCTAAACCAGGGAAACCTTTCTAGCAAACAAGATAATGGTGACGGGAGTCATAAGGAGAACAAAAATTTGATCAATCATAACCACAGTACCAGGTGGCACAACGGACTCCGGCAAAGTGGGATCTAGGTAGAGAAACTTCTCCTTAGTGATCCAAGTAGAACCCAAGTCTCTAAAACCTTTCCAACAAAAAGGTAATAATAGAAGGGTTCATGAGGAGAGTGCACAGCATGCTCTTCCATAGCCAAATTCCCAAAACTACAACAAGAAGCCTTATCCCACTAAGTGGGATTGGCCACACAGATCACACTACTAATGTGCTCATCAACAACCCACTCTTGAGATTGTAAAAATTCTTGATACCCGATAAATTATTTATTAACCTTAATTGCAAACACAATCTCCTATCACAAACCCTAATTCATAGATAATGATTACATAAATTAATTCATAATTGATATTCCCTAAACTGCATCATGTAAAAGGCAAACTATTGGTGTGCATTAATCATACAGTACATAAACCTTACAAAGTACATGGCATTAATGTATAGTTGAATGAAGATTCCCCATCAGATGAGACATGCAAAGGTTATCCAATGATATAATTTACTCCAACGATACATAGACACCAACTAACTCATGTATATATATCCATATATTTCTAGTTAATTCTACTGTCAACAATGAATATACTATAATAAAGCAGCTTAGAGTGTACATGCTTCAAATTTCAGCATCTCAAGGTGAATAACTGAAAGGGGAAGTCCCAATGAACTACATACAGATATTAAACATAGCCTTACCAGAATTCACAAGATGACTAATCAATTAGGAGAAGCATTTTGCTACACATGTTGCATTCAGCCAATGCAAAAGCAACTGGTTATATCCGAGATAAACATGACTCACCTGGTTGTATCTGTCCAGTGAAGATGAGCATGTTCTCCTATGCCCAAATGAAATATGACGTCAGTACCCTTTTGCTTATAACGTACGTCCTTGCTGCATGCATTGCTGATAACATATCTGCACAATTAGACCCCTACTAATCAGACAGGATGACACCTCACATGAAATCAAAGATGTAAGAAACAACAGATCACCCTAAAAGCTAAAGCTTAGCTTTTAGGAGGCCCAAGGATGATTTCTTAATCTGTAATGCTCAATCACATTATAGTGCTTTAGATTTATCAGGCGGACAAACCTACGGCCCAGCCCACATTTTCACCATATTAAACATTGATTAGATAGGCAGGACGATAGTGTTAGGTTTGACCAAAACATAGTTTTCAAGGCCAGGCAGGGTATCGAATAGGTGAGAACCCAAGTTACTGGATCACGGGTTCAACTGTTAAATCATTAATCAAACTGGTTGAACATAAAAGGTATAACGGATAGAAAATTTTAATCATACATTAGTAATTAAAAAATATTAATTTAAAATAATTTAAACTTCAAGCATCCAAAATTTCTTTTACACAACTCATTTTTAAAGGATAAAAAATATAATTTCAAAAACCTAATTCATTAAATATATTATTCTAAATGGACTGGATAATTATAAATAAATAATTTTTAATGCACTACGCACATTTGTTAGACTGTGCCAAGAGAATTTCGAGTCACATATCATTTAAGGATGAGGTAATTCACAAATAATCTCCTGTGTTTCCAGTCCCTCATTCATTAAATGGACAGTTGGATGAGCCATATTTTCAAAACTTTGCAAATACACATGGGTTATCCTATGCAAAAGTGAATTCAAAATTGTCCCACCCAGCTGATCTAGTCTAGTTGCCAAACCACTAGCAAGCTCTTCACGACTTAACCAAAGATCGAATATCATGCCCAAAAATTAAGCAATCACGAAAGCTAAAGCTAATACCATTTGTTTCTGCTTATAAGTCACTTGAACCTTAAGCCCGCAAACCAAGAAATGCATTAAATTGATTTTTTTCCACATATGCCCTTACTAAAGAAGGGTATTAAAAATATGTTTTATATTTTCTCTCACCTATTTACTTTATCTCTCGCTATACTTGTTAAGTCAACAACGATAAAATTAGAAAAGGCTCACTAATTACCCTACAAGTGACTTATACTCAAGAACAAACTTTTTCCCTACAAGAGACTTATGAATATGAACAGAGTGGTACAAGGAAGTTGTTGAGTCCATTGCATAGAAATTTTTTCAGTAAGATACACAAATGCATCAGAGCTCTTTCTTGCCCCCAAAATAAACATGAGGACAAAATTGTTACCTGGGCTGGAAAGTAATTGCATTTATCCTTCCAGTATATGATTCAACAACCGAGGTAGATGTCATTGCCAGAATGAATGCAGAGTTTGCCGATGACTGAGGAACAAGGATGTTACTTGAACCACTAGGCGGTGAAAGTGAAAAAGTGCTTGACCATAATGAATATGGTGACTTTTCCATAACATATTCAGGCCAACATCTACTAACTTTAACCAGAACATTATTTATAGAGGAAACAGGGTTTGGCGAATAAATGCATGGCCCAACCTTTCCATGGCCACGATGACCAGAACCTAAAGTTTTTGAAGTTGACTGAACCCTTGAGCTTAGTCCACTCTTATAGCCGCTTAAACAAGAATTTTGGAGTTTTGAATTATTTATAATTGTTTTCCTCTCTATATTCTCCTGGCAACTTTCAGGGAAAAAGGGGCTGCTTGGGAAACTCCTCGAGGGGCTAACTTTCTCTCGAATTGAGATAATACGATTACCCAGCGAACTCTTTGGGTGAGGAGGCATATCAGCATCTGAATCATGGCCGAAGCACAAGAGAGAAAAGCCATCCTTTTTCCCTACAAGGGTTTCGTTTTCATCAAGATCATAATAGGAAGGGATAAAGGTACGCTGTTCCTTAATTTCAGGAGAGGCTTCTGTGATACAGAGGGGGAAACCTGTGCAGTTATACAAAAGGAAGGGAACAGATATGATGACTTCCCTACTACCTGAATATGCATCCATCACCTTCTCCACAGTCACATACATAGGGCCTACAAGTAATGATGAATAAAACGGTTAAATAGTGCTTTTAGAATTCAATTAAAACTACAAAAAAGTGGAAGTTTGTTGGTTACCACGTAGACTGCTTGACCCAAAGGTCAGTGTTTCAGATAATAAATATTTGTTTTCACTAAATTTAGCAGTTGTGGAGAAAGTTTCCAATCGAGGAAATTTAAAATATGAAGGGTTGAATCCATCAATGCAGATCTCCAGTCCAAGATCATGTGAAGGATCAATGTGATAAACAGTAGCTTCCCCCTAGAAAAGAAAACATGTTGTAAACTAATCAGAAGCTGTTGCTCCAGTACCAAAAAAAAAAGAAAAGAAAAGAAGTGAACAGAATTATATATGCCGTATGGAGTATTGACATCACAAACCTCTGAAACTGCCATTGTATGATTTACCCCGCCACTATCAGTGGTCAAAACAATATCCTTAGGAATGTAGTTGTTCACTGTTAACGGAACACTGAGGACTATGTGATGAATTAACCGATTGTTTGCCTCATCCACAGGCATATTCCTTTTCATCCAGCCAGGTGACATCAAGCTGATGTTTGAGACTGATAGGCAACATCGAAATGCAGAACTGCTAGGATTAGTTGGATAGCAAACAAAGGACTTGAAGTTTCCTATTTTGTGTCCAATGAGAGAAGCTTTGAGAGGTTGTGAGCTTCACTCCACAGGAAAGAGTTTCCAACTGGTCGCCACCTTAGAGAGCCAGCTTCAGCCAGATGTAATGGCAAAGGTAACTGTTGTCCAGGATATACAGGATCTAATATCTGAAATGGTGAAACGTTGCATCACAGAAGTAATATCATTTGTAAAATATCCCTTGCCTAATTACGAAAATTGTGGAATATGAAGATAAGCTTGTGTACCTTTGGTGACAACCCAAGAGGAATATCAAATCGTAGTTCCAAAGGTGTAGAAGTTGCATTTGAAAGTATAACCTGAATGTTCAAACTTAGATCATAATAAGGAAAGAAAAGGATGTTCAAACAAAATGAAACTTAACGGCAACATGAAGACAACGCATCTTTGGTACATACAGTAGAGTATATCCGTATTAACTTGCTATGGTGCAGCACTGAAACATCGAAGACAACCGGAACAACAAAACAAGAGGCTGTATCAGTTTGACTGTCCTTTTCATTTTCATTGCAAGCCTTGGAGAAATTAACCTCGAAGCATGTAAGTCCTACTAAATCCATTGACATTGGGGCAGATGGCACAGATGTTCCATCAAGCTGTATAGTGATATAATGATGAGAAAATCCGCTTGACCTTTGCTCGTTTAGACAATCAGAAGAACAAGAAGGCTTGTAACGAGCAAGTTGTTCTTCTGTATTGTCATTCATGTATATTGGAACAGCAGAACCTGGTTCTACGCATATTCTGTTTTTCTCGTCCAAGTCATCAGGCTGATCAGGGTTGACAGGGCTGCTATATACATAACAGAAAAGGGGCACAGAAGTCAAGTTTTGAAGAACATAAGGAGCAGCACACTTTCTAGCATGCATATATTCAGCCGAAGGTAGAGGCACCATTTTGTTTCCTTCAGAAGGATCTTTGGACCCCATCAGATGCCAGGCATCCATAACCATCTCAATGATTCTAGAAATACACTGAAAAGAAATTGGGCCATCAAAACAAATCAGATTACTAACATGTCAAGGACTATTTCTCTTTCATCTTAGTAGTTTAAGCTGTTAAATGAAAACCTATGAACAGTTCTCATATCATCTATATATGGCATAGTCGAGAAAACAGCAAATGATGTACCTCAATTAAGGATTCTGAAATATTAATGTTAAGCTCAGCTGCTGAGTCAAGAATGATATCAGTTGTTACGGAGCTATTCAGCAGAACATTCATTTCTTGTTTTCTAAATAAAGTCAACTGAAATTGCCACGGCTCAATAAAAGGCTCCCAACATACCTGTAGTTTTTGAAGCAGACAATATGGTTATCAGTAGATTACTCATATTAAACAAGGGATAACTGTAATTCAACAACTTGCACCTTTTCAATGTTATTGTAGTTTACTTGAAAATCACAAGTGACCGAGCATTCCATGTCTTTTTCAGTCATGTTGACAAGCAAGAGGATATTCCTCACCAGAATGTCCAACTGGGGCCCATTACAGCTCCACTACAGAAAATGAAAAAGATTGTATGATATAAAAATTGAAAAATGCAAAGAATATAAGAAATTCAATAGAAGTACATATTGAAGTTAAACAAATTTCAGACGCTATTGAATCCAAACTATTTCAAAAAAGTGACTCAAGCGAACAGTATAAAAAAGGAACATTTTTCCTTTGGTTAAAGGGGAAAAAATACATCAGGAAGCAGATAAGAGCACAAGACCTCAACAAAAGAAAGCAAGAACAATATGAAAAAAGAACAGCCTATGAAATGCCCCAAAAGAGATTTATGCACAGTGCACTAATAAGAAGCCGTCATATCTTTCCCACAATTTTAAGGAAAACAAATGTCCACGAAGATACAGGCATTCCTCTCCAATAAGCCAGTTCATGTCTCTTGCATTGCCATTCACTAGACTGCATTCATCCACAAAGAAATGCAATTTATGGCTAGTTTCATCCTGTCACTGTCGTTTTCTGCTTTGCTTACTTCTTTCCTCTCCTCCTCTTTCTCCCAATCTTTTTTAGTCTAAAAGAATAGCCTCCATAAATTTTCACTCATATAGAAACTTTGAATGAAATACAATAGGGGGGAAAAAAGAATAAGAGACAAACAAACAAAAAACAGCAGAAAGAAAAATATGCTTCTAAGATTTACATAGCAAAGATAGCGATCAATACCCTTCCATCAGTTAATAGAAAAGAGACCTTCCTCAACTGGAATTTAAAATCAATGTCAAACAATGAAAGTTGAGAAGGCCGTTCCTCAGGAATATTGAATTTTACAGCACCCCAGAAAAAGAAAACAGGATGTGAAAGCCACACATTTGAGAGATCACACAGAATCGTCAGTTTCAATGGCCTGGTGTCTTTCTGATTGGCATGGTATACAGCCTCCAGGTAAACCTGAACAATCTCAAAAAGGGGCCAAGATATACACATTCTGTCCTCAATTATCTTTATTGTGCCACTGAATTTATCCACATTGGAGTTTAATTGGATGCCTGTGCTATTTACTAGTAATTCAAACCGACTCATGTGGAAAGAAACAGAAAGATGTTTCAAGTTTGTTTCTTCATCAGTTTCAAAAGATATGCTTGAGGATGTCAGCCTGAGATCTTCACCAAACTGAAGATCAAGAGAAGATTCTTCAGTAACTGATATAGGAATGTGAAATGTCACATCGACCTCATCTGACTTCAGAGTCAGCAAAACAATATCCTTCTTCTCTTCTGATGCAAAATGTGCCAAGGTGCTTTCAGAACGATGGAAACCCGAAGGATCTCTAACCGCAGTCTCCTTTACAGGAGCATCAGCATTGTGAAGAAAACAATTCAATGATGCATCCAAGGGCACAGTCTTTACAAAATGTTGACAAAACTGATTAAGAAAGTTAACAACCTCCATCCACTCAGAAAAATGTAGCCAGATATTAAGTGATGGAAGGCAAAAAGAGAGTTCATTGTCACCCTCAATTGATTTGAAGAAACTGATGTGAAGCACTAACGTGGATGAGCATGTGGATGTGCATTTTGCTAACACCTGTGAATCTTGAAGAGAATGTAACGCTAAAGAAGAGAAACCCAAGTCTAGCCTCACCAAAGAATCATTTATTAGTGATGCAGAGCAGTTAAATCGCATATCAGTTTTGGATATCAACTCTGCAGAATCTTCTTTTGTACGATAGAAGTTTATCAACAAAGACTGAACGCAACAGTTCATTTCTGTATATATAATGGATGAAACCGTCGGAGAAACTGCTCTGATCTCCTTTAAACTTCTCTTTGAATGGATAAACTGCAAAACATCTGATTTGAAATAACTGGACTGGTCAACAACTGAGGACATCTCATCAATGACATCTACCAAGGCTGTCAATCCCTCAAAGATGTGGCTATCTGTTAGCACACGCACACACAAAGAATCAGTATACATAGATAATGCAACAACATTAAAAATAGGGGAACATGGATAAGAGTTCTACCTTCAGCAATAATTTGACAGCTCCTTATGACTGTCATGAGGCACGTCACCGGATAAGAGTTTTGCCAATTGGATTCATTTCCAATTGAAATTCTGACCCAAACATCAGCACTTATGGGTGCAATTAAAGCAACATCCACACATTCAGTATTTTGTTTGATTATTGATGAACCTAACTTGTCAACCCTAAATCGCATAAATGATAGGAACAAGTCCCTACCAAACATATTCAAACAGTGATTTCTCCGGGCAAGCTTATCAATTGAGACCATATAGTCAAGAGGAATGTCCCTTATTTCATTATCTGAACAAGAATTATCAATAAAACTACAGTAAAGCTGTGGTATCTCGACCTTAAGAAATTGATGCTCCTTATTCTCCACAGGCAAAATGAGGGTAGAATCCAAGATTTCAAACTTGTATGTAATGCTTTTGTCATTTTCGACATTTATGTAACTCTGCTCTTTGATGAGGAGCTGATCAGTTGAACGGCCACCCCAATCAGACAATGAGAAGTACCCAATCATGATGGATAAATATTCAGGAGGTAGCATGCAAGAGACATGCTGAGTACTGACACTTACTTCAAGCTTAGTCGTCGAAGGAATATTTTGACCATTTCTGACACGGACATTTAAAATAGGAGTCAGATTTGCTGAAGACGGGCCCCATAGGTAATCATGAAAATTTTTTGTCCACCAAGGGGAGGTAAGAACCAATCCTTCGGAGGAACACAATATATCCATACTGTCTCCACAAAAGAATAGAGAAGACTTGCATGTAGGCAACATAATTGTTCCAACTATGCATGCTGAATCATGAAAATGCGCTGTCAACCCACATATATTCAACTCAAGAGAAAAAGGTATGTCGCAAAATTTAGACCTTCTCATGTTGATGCTGGGACTTCTGATTTTTTGGTCCCTCAGTATAAAATATTTTCTCCAGTCAGAAATGGCATATAACAGCACATTCTCTAAATTACCTAGAGAACCAGAATTGCAGATAGTAACAAATGGAAAGTGATCCACCGGAATGCATGCTGATTCAGAGGATCCAGGTTCAACATAGTTTGAGAAGCCAAACTTTTCTAACCCAAGGCTTGCTATTGCTTTTGAAATGTCAATGTCATTTCCAGCAGACAAATTCTCAGAAGTGGTGCCATATGCAGTCAATCTATCAAAAAATCTGACAAGCAATCCAACTACATGTGGATAGCAGTGGATATCAGCATTATTTACATACATAGTACACTTTTGACCAACTGTATTAGTCCTAGGAGATTCATAATGAATGCAAAAACATGCATTAGCCAACATAGGTACACCAGGACATCGATCAGATTCATTGCATGTTTCAGAAACAGAAACTTCAATTGCAGGGCCAGGAGAAGAAAATTTCCCAGTTGAAAATAATATACAGCTATTCTTTTCATCTTGCAGTTTATAATTAGAGATTCTTAAAGACTGCATACGGACAAAAAATTCCTCAAACTCCATAGAAGCATACCTGCAAATGGTACAGTAACATGCAAAAACGGTTCTGTGAATATTGTGCATCCCTCTTGAAACAAAACAAGAATAGAAAGAAAATAGTGGTCAGAAAAATCTACATGCACATGCTTCAGGAAAACAATGACCACCTGAAAGTGAAATCAGGTACACAAGCACTCAAACGTTGTGGTAGCTTGGTGGTTAAAAAGTCCAACTGCTGGGATACAGTATGAGGTTGGGTTAATGGACTTAGGCCCAGCCCGGAAGTATTATTGAAGTGCTAAGTAGAGTTCAGAGTATCTAGTATAACTCAGAACTATAAATAATCATGGACGATACATTCAAGAACTAAGAAAGCATTATTCTAGAAATATATTGACTGTGACATGTGATGCCAACTTTTGGATAATACAATATTCCACCTTGCTTTCAATTAAAAAATATATATCTATTGATGGCTCTACAGATTTGTTATATTCAGATGCATTGAAGGAGGCAACATACAAATTATAAACAAAATAAAATACGCACAATCTACAAGTATTTGGCATCATATCTCAAGGTTCCGATGACAATATTCTTCTTTGCTTTCATATTTAAAAAGAAATTATTGATGGCACTGCAGATTTGGTATATTCATATGTATCGAACGGCTAGATAGAAGGATCAGGGATGCTGGGGACATATGGGAAGAGAACAAAGAGGAAAGATAGTCAACATTATCAGTAACCATCAACTTATGACAACATGATAAAGGCAAGGATTCTATGAAATGCAGTGCTCCAAAGGTTGCATATTCGGTAACAATAGCATACATACCAGATTTTCATCTCTTCAAGGGAAAACATGAGTGCGGAGCTATTATCCCCATCATTTTCCAAGTTAACTCTCAGAACAACAGTGCGTATATTTGAATTAATAGAGGCACCAAACATAGAAGGTTCGCAAGAAACCACATTAGGCAGGCCAGTGGCTTCCAAGATTTCATGTTCGTTCTTCGAATGCAATAAGCCCAAATGAGTAACCAATTCTCTGACTGCACCATACATTGACGGAGAGAGGTGTGCTTTAAGTAATTCAATGATTATAAAAACCTAAAATAAAAAATTATGGAAATTAACAGAGAAAAGAAAAAAGAAAGAAAAACCAAAGCTATTCCACAAGCAAAATTCGATTCATATGGAACATATTCATCACCTCTAACTGTTTCAAAATGGATTCATCAGCGATCACACAAGATGAGAGGAATACAGAAGCATTAAATTGCTCAAGCATAGAATACTTTTGTGACTGATCAGAATTCATCATTGTAACCTGCATAATAGCATATTGTTGACTGATTACCCAACTCAGAAAATCTGAAGAAGAAAAAAAATTACTGGTATTAAGAGCCTAACCTCAAAATCATTTAGTTTGACCTCAAAGTACTCATAGAGGTCTTCAACCTGGATTCCTAGACATTTACTGGATGTAGATGCTGAATTTAACAAGCACTTCAATGAGCAGTTATCTTCCCCGACTTTTGAAGAGAAAGACTCGAGATTATTCATGGACATAAAACATATAGATCTTGATTCCATTACCTGCAAGTATGTTCACAGGAACATGAAGCTAATCAGGAAAAAGTATATTCATAACTAACAAATTCTACAGATAATAATGACGATATAGCATTGTAAAATGCTTTCTAAGTGCCATTTTCCAAGTACCCATGGGCTTCTTCAAATCACAAGACTGCCACCGTGGATGGCTTGGCCAGCCCAACACACATCACCAGCTAGTTTTTCTTTTTTCTTCTGTCACATGTTTGCTAAGATTCATGGCTCAAAAAAAGAGAAGGACCTTATTGGCATGTAACAATTTAAAATAGGAAATACTACCGTGTTTCTAGAGTGCTGAGAGAAAAATACTTCTTACTAACACTAGAAGAACATAACAAAAGCCCAACCCTAAAGGTTCATAAAAAATTATTTAAGAAAAAAACTGCAAGCACAAACATCATAACACGAATAACCAGGTCAATATACCCTAATCTTCAAAGTATAAAGCAACTCTGGGCCATGTCAATATTATTGGCTGTTTTGAGCACCTCGAATTACACAATGAAACCTCCAGAGGGCTATTTGATTTCCAAATTGGTTTTCAATAAAGGATGCCTCCGAAAAGAATGAATGGACGTTTTGCCACGAAGGAAATAAAAGTAGGACATGCAAGAATTATGCCAGAAGGATCAAGACTCCAATTCTTTCACTAAAGAGGAATAAGGAGAGCAAAACACACAACTCAGTTCCTCAAAGAGATGTACCAAAATCCAGCCTACTAGGTCCTTAACCATGAAATATATCACTGAAAAAGTTCCACACCATTCAGACAAGAGCTGCAGAGGCAGTGGTCATCACCTATGATAAATTCTTTGTAGAGAATGGCACAGCTTATTAATTTCTTGACAATATAATACAATTGAAAGTTGACAAAATATAACACACATGACAGTCATCAAATAATGATGCATGCATGATGTTCAATCAATACTTTCGAAAAATAAAGCAGTTACCAAGTTGCAATAATCAGACACTGAATTTCTCCAAGGAAAATTAATCAGTACATCCGACACAGAAATATCCCACACAACTTTCTTATGGCTTGCCAAAATAGATCTGCAAGGAAAACAAAAGCAAAAATAATTAAAAACCTGAAAGAAAAAAAATCGGGTTGTCAGATGAAAAGGGAATCTTGAGTTACAAAGTGCAACTTACTTTGCTTTTAAAAACAGCCTAGTGTTCTGATCTCCAATTCCATTCAGTGACAAGAGCACCTGCCATTAGATAGAAATAACAAACACAACTTCTAAGAAGGTAACACTAACGGCGATATTAATTGCCTTCTTTAATAGGATAAACAAAAGACTAAAGTCCTCCAAATTGCTTATTTATTGAAGAATGAAGATAATCAAGTATAAGCACCATAAAATAATGTGAAACATGATGGCTGAATGGTCTTGTTCACAATAAAAGAAACTACACGAACATTATTCTGAAAAAATACAGTACTTCACGATTTAAACACAACAAAATGCAGTAAAAATTCAGGATTGAGTATCTCCATACAACTTCACCTTTTTTGGCTGTTATATACAGTCAAAAGAAACTATCAATGAAAAAAAGACAAATAACAATGAGATGAACAACGCTAAAGATTACAAAATTGAACAACTAAAATATACTGATTTGAAACAATAATGACCGACAACCTTTCATCACAGCATTTAAAACCTCAGACAACAAGCAATTAAGAAAAGCTAGAGTGGGGAAAAGATGTGAATATAAAGGAAGCATACCCTTTCATTCTGAAATTTGAATGTTGTACAGACATCATAAAACTCCATGAGAGTTGATAAAATTTGTGCATCAAATGTTACTTCAAGCTGCTGGAGCTTTCCCTGTAGCATATTTCACACTTTAGGATATTTGGTATAAACTTAACATGGCATTTCAGCATTTAAAATGCACACCGACTTATCAAGAGAACTCACTAATAACTTGCATTTACTAGTTATACAGGGGGAACACAATGACAATACCTTTACTGATAGTGCAACATCATGGTTAGATGTGCAATTAAATTGAATGATACATGAATGATCCACAATATCCAGTTTACTGTTTTCAACAATGGGCTGCAAATCAAGGAATATAGATCAACATCAATAACCACAAAATGATATTAAATGGTAGGAAGAATAAGAATAAGAATAACAACAACTAAAATTCAATCAGAGATTCCATTTTAAATGCGTTTCTCACATAATACTTCTTTATAAAAATTCTTGCTTAGTAATGTCAAGGAGTCCCACTAAAACGACAATAGAAAGGTAGCATAAACAGAAAATAGAAGCATTAGCTTCGTAGAGTTCTCTAAAACATCAGCACATAGCATACTCCCATACCTTTCATTAGAATTCTTATTTCTATGCCCACAGGCATTAGTCTTAATAGAAGGGGTCATGGCTGCCTACGCACAAAATATTAGTTTCAAATGCATATGAATGCAAAAGATGCCTCTCAGAGAACTACCCCCATTTAGAATTGACAATGCTCAAATCTGACCCCTTGGAACTGGATATCAAATAGCATATTTAAAGAAAACATATTTAAAACAGAAGAATAAGAATTTTCATCTCTGTAAATGGCTAATCAACCTATTTGAACTAAAAGTCCCAACATAAGAACCACAAAAGGGTAACAATGACGTTGAGATAAGAAACTATAAAATGACAAGATTTAGTTCCCTAGATTAGAATCCTATTCAAGGTCAAGAATATGAAAACTTCAATGGTTAAAAAAGAATAGCTGTTGTCTATGCAAATAGTCACATCTCAAAAATACACACCTGTCTGGTTCTTAGAATAACTTTCTTCTTGTGCAGAAGAACCATCTCCGCTGACTTCAGTTTAAAAATGATGGTCGCATGCTCATTGTGGAGCTTAGACTCAATGATACCGCCTTCAAGAACTATACCAGTTGTTCCTTCATCATACCTCCAAGAATGGTGAGGAAAAAGTAAGCAAACAACACATCTAGCTATGCAAATTGAACAGTAATAGCGTATGATTTCCCTCATTTTGAAAATATAAGCATGACTAGATTAAATAAGAGAGAAAATAGAGTGTATGGTTTCTTACAAGAAATGAGAACATACCCTATCTATTGCTATGAGGTTATCATAGTGTATGGGCATCTACAGGCAACAGTCTATATAGGGAATAATGGCTTTCACTAATAGAACCACTGAATTAGAAGTATTACCATACTGGTGAGAGCTAGGTATGTTCCGTAATCTTGAGGCTTTTATAGTCATCAAGCTTACAAGTACAAATAAGCAAAAGAAGGATAAATTCTTTGACATGGAACAAATATTTGCACTTTTTGCGTCTTCAAAAAGGAATGCAAGAGTTTCAATTAGCATTTCCTTCAGCATAAGAGAGGAATCTCTTATGTCCTCTTTGTGGGTTTCTGTAAGTAAATTTTCAGGGAGCTGTCCCTTGTGCATCATTGAGGGATTGGAAGGCACAGCTAAGTTAAAGCCTGGGTTGTTTTCTCTTGTAAAAAACTTTGTATGATGAGGATTCCTTATCCTATGTTTTTGTTCACTTGTGCAAGACATTCTTCTCATCAATAAATTTTGTTTTCATCTAAAAAATATGGATGAATATCTTGCCATAAAGACCAAGCATTGGCTTCAATACAGCATTGATAGGGGAATATACAACGACTTTCTCTATATTTCCTGATCATGGTTCTTTATAGTAGTTCCCCTGACTTGCATGATAAGGGAATGACAATATCACCCTAAGGACATGTAAAATACAGAATAAGAAAAAAAAAATTATAGTTAATGTGCTGCCCTGCACACATGGGAACTCTCACGCATGTAGTGACAGTCCCCTTATATTCATCATCAAATGAAAATAGAGATTAACTATAAAAGGGAACTCTTTAACGATGACATAGGATAATTTCGACTCAAAATTGACAACAAGCCTTAATATAGATAAACAGCTAATCCATTAGGATTTTGATGGGACATCTAAGCAAACGTGGACTGACAAGGGCAAAGAACCATGGCACTCTGTGGTACTCACTCTAAATTCATCTTGCAGCCTTCAAGGAAATATGCAATCCCCCTATCTATTTATTTGCCAGATGCCACTAACAACTATCCAGCAGAATTGGCACTTGAAAGTACAGCTACTGTTAGTGGTGGCTTTGTCTCCCGTGCCTTTCATGTGGCACACTGGCTGTAGGATATAAGCCATATCCTACCCTTGTCAAATCCAAATTTACCAAATTATGAACCAAAATACTGAATAATTTTGGGACACATATCTAGCCTTATCCTATGTGTACGGGCATTGGATCATGGTAGCATCACAATATTTCCCCCGTTTTGAATTATTCTAAAAACTGAAAGAAACTTTTTGTCATTTGTTCAGCATTTCTATCTTCAACACATATTTTGAGTGAGTGTAGTCTCTTTATCAGACGTTCAAGCCCCCAAAACCATGAAGTTCATCAAGCTATCCAACTTTTTCAATGCTACATTTCCATCATCTCTCTTCAACTTTTCCATCTGCTGTGATTTTCACCTTTTTCATTGGTAAGAATTCAGCTAACTCTAAGCTTAGTATCTACACCCAAAACTATGCTCAAATAAAGCAACGCTCAACCATTATTACATCATTAAAATAAGCATGAACGTCAGAATTTGCAAACTGAAGATGAGATGTTTATAAAACATATTATGATGAAGGTATCAAGATCATAACAAAAATTAGCATGCCTCAGAAATATCAAACAGAATCAAACATCTATGAGATGAAGAGAGCAGAGAACATGGCACAGTACTTGCTACATAGAGTCACTGAAATTTGATTAATCACAAACTTCATTTCGCAGAGGCATAATTCACTTTTTGCATTAACATCTCCATTGGATGAAACCGAAGGATGAAATTCAGTTGCCTCATATATATCCTGCAAAGTGACAGAAGCCAGCATCTTTACATAATGCCATTGCCGATACACAGCAAATTAACATGAACATCCATAAGATTTAACAAAAAATATGAGTAATATCATCTTTATCGCTAGAAGATTAATAGAATAAAGGTTTCATTGACGCTTGTTAATGCTCTGAAAGGAGTAGATGCAATGATCAATATCAAACAACTTGTTCAGAATCAAATACGAATGAGCTAAAATTAAAATTATATTTCATGCAGATTAAAAAATAACATTCGAAAAAATATCATATTCACCTTTCCTCTGCCTTTTGACACATCATGAAACATGAAAATATTAATAACCCCAAGCAAAACCAATCAACAGCTGTCTAGGTGCCAAGGCACGCTGATTAATTGCTCAGGTCATGAGAATTTAGTATTCGTTTCGTTTGTTCAATTGAATCAAAGAGTTGTACATATTAGCATCCAGGTTTATTGCACTAATTTTTGAACTACCCACTGGACTACTCTTTCTTTATCCCTTGTAAATAAGGCAAATGCAATATGAAAGGATATGCACACACTTTACATCTTCCGTCCACTCAGCCATTTCCTCAGAAAATTTCTAGTCTAGTATGTTCTCCTCTACTCTTACCCATTGTGCCAATTTTTATTCTTTGCCCATAAAACAACAGTAAGAGTACACATGCTTTTACAAATTCAACCATCTATCTTCTTTCCAGTTTATAAGTTCTATATTATCTGCCTATTATCATTTCATCGAGCCTAAAATTGTTGCTTTGTATTCAATAAAAAAAATATAAACAGCACAATATGCCTCCATGAGTAATAGAAAAGGAAAGGGGCGCAGTAGTTTTTCCACAGAAAGAGAATAGAAACGAATTTCCTTATAAAATGACTATTGTAAATACACCAAACCTAGAAGGACATGAAATGTGCTTTACTTTATAAATGGGCACCAGTACCTTAATAACATCATCAGAAACAATCCCAGAAAACTGACTAGAATCATCAGTTCCTCCAGCACCAAGCATACCTCGAGATAGCCAATTCAGCCATCCCCGTGATTTGCCAGAGTTGCGTTCATCATTGGAAGACTTTTCTGCAGGTATATCAACACCATTCACGCCGATGTCAGGTTTAGAACACCTCAAAAAGAATTCCTGTCAGCAAACACGCATGACAAGCTTTAAGAACCAGAGTTTACCATACTCTAATACAGCATTGTAATAGAGTAAACTTTACCCGTATAAGCCAATTAAATGAAGAGCCAAGTACCTGCATCTCATATTCTGCACCAGCCCGATAATTCAAAATGTCATCTACATCTGATTCTTTCTCCATTTGCTCCAGTTCTTGAAGAACCTCATCATCAACTGGCTAATAAAAACAAATTTAAAAAATGCAACCTTTGCAATTAAAAAAATTACTGCCCTAAATAATAATAATAATAAGACATCAGCAAAATTGAATTTCTAATAGCATCACATTTGAAATAATAAACAAGATTATACGAAACTAACAATCCAAAACACAAACTCCAAAAGATCCTCATTGAAACCCAACAATAAAGAATTTTATATTACATAGATAGAAATGCATAAATGAAAATGTCTGTCGAAAGAAAAACAACAATCACCTGTTCTTGTCTAAGAAAATCCAGCTTGGTCTTGTATAAGTCAATGTACCTCCGACGATAGCTTCTATATTATAAAAACAAGGATATCATCAAGCAATGAAAGTGTCATGAATGTAAAATAGATTTCACATGGCAAAACCTCGAAAGATATCACATTTATCAAAGGTTTGATATTCCCTATGGCAAGGGTGAATCTTATTTTAGCCTTTAATTTTCTTCCAACAACAAACACACTTTATATGGTGTTCACGGTGAATACTCAGCTTTCAGAAGTAATTCAGTCTAGAAAATAATGCAGCAGCATCCTTAATTTGTGCATGTGTAACTTGTTGGATTGAAATTCACGGGACAACCAAAACCTCAAAATCCAGCATTATAAATTATCAATTATTTATAGAAAGGGTAATCTTTCCAAAGACTTACAATCGCTCCCCAAGGTATCTCCATGAGGTTTTCTTTAATTTCTTGCGAACATCTGAGAGGACAGATTCCTGTGCATAGCGCCACCATAATAATGGCCAGCCCTGAATTCTCCTCAATAAAGGGCTATGCCAAGGCCGATAACGACCATACCTACATATAACATATCCTATCAAATAAATATAAAACATATGTTTTAAAGGGGGGAATGCATCAAAAGAGAACAAAATATTAGATTATTCTAGATACAATAATGATAGTAATTACTGGGCTTATATCATCAGTCTATATTACTGTGGATGTTCATGCAAATGGACCCATTTCCTTGTAGTAAAATGCAATTTATAAATGATCAGACAACTATCTACTCAATGGTAGTATATAAAGACATCAGTTACAATACAACAGTTACAGTGTGAGACACACCGTTCTCTTAATCGACAAGTGCATACATAATCCCACACAATAAACATCTGGTGTAGCTGAGCCTCATCTAAAGAGACATCCTGATAAACACGAAACATATTATCAGGGTATGTAGGAGAGAAAAATAATAACACAATCAAAATTAACAAATGCCTTCAGAAAGTGTACAAACCAAACCAGTCAATTCAGCAGTAACAGAATACTGAGGAGCACTGTCATCAAGCTTTTCAGATCTGTTAGCCTAGAGGAGAAAAATCAATTAAAAAGAAAAGGCGATCAAAGTTTCAATTGCAATTAATGATCAGGTAATTATCCAGTAAAATGATAATTCATACCCAAAATTAGCAAAGAGTAAGCAGTAAGGGCAACATAATGAACCTATACAACAAAAAGGTCTAAAATTTTCCATTTCTTTTTTCCAAAATATATATATATATAAAGAAGATTGTAAGTAAATGAAAAATGCACCACACAATAGAACCAAAAAAACTCCTGAAATGAGAAAAGCAAAAAAGAAAATTTAACTCGAAAGAGCCAATCCTTTTAATAATAAATTTAAGAAGAAGTTTATTGAGAAGAGATAACAATATGAAAAACAGAGGACAGATCATCCTCCTAAGTCAAAAGAAAGAAACTGGAAAGACTTTTTGGGAACAAAGAACTTCGATCCCTTTGTAAATCAAAAATGGACACCCCTGAGAAATCAATTCGCATCAATCCACAAGGAAGTCATCAAAGCCCTCCCCAAAGTACATGAGAAGGTGCAAACTACCATCAATGAATAAATACATAATTTATATCAGTTTCAAAGGACTATGGGACATGCTTCTCACTGTAGTTGACTGTCCAAAAGAACTGATTAAAATAACTGAATTATCTGCTCATGCGGTTCTCTGTGGTATAGCACAATTACTCCATCCATTTGCTTTATTCAATATTTCAATATACCTCATCATTTACAAGCCTCACACCTTATACAGGATTTGGCTTATCAACATTCATAACAGCCTCTTCTTCCTGACAAACCCATTCAGCCACCTAACTAATTCATTCCCTTCCCTTTATTACACAACACAATGTCCCTAACCCCCCACAGGGATAAGCCAAACTTACTGCCACACACTCGAATTTCATCATCCCATTACAAACACTACTTAAAACCTTCTCAAATCCTTTAATGACCATCAAAGGTTTTGATCCAGCCTTTGTTCAAATTGGTAATAGAGGAAAATTAGATCCTGGTGCAATAAAGTGTTATTTTCCTGGGTGTTCCCCGACTCAAATTGGGTATTGTTGCTAGCCATCTGCCTTAAGAAAATTTTTTGTCACAGTGAATGCAATAATTTATGATAACCAACCATATATTCCAAAATGCCCATCCAAGGGGAGGGTATGGATAATGAATGGATGTTTTTTGGGTAAGCATAATGACTATCAGCTCTCATGCACCAGTGAACCCGCACATCTGACCACTACACCCACAGAAACTACCCAAACGGCCTTGAATTTAATATCAGTTCACAGTACAGCAACCAGTCCCAGAAATGTGTGAAAAGAACCCAGAACAGTGCCTAAGAATAAGAATGTTTGGAAGATACACCTATAGACTACTGGTCTACAAGATATACTAGTCATAATTAAGACAAAGGACAGAAGATGTAATGACTAATATGGAAAATATGATTCTCAGCTAAGATGTTTATACCGAAAACATGAAGGTTACATCACACGGTGCCAATATAGACTTGTAACTTTGGCCTTCAGATTTAATATTGCTTTGTGATGTGGAATTCCCCACATTGCCCAAAGCCACCAAGTCCAATGTCTCATGAAACATACTGGAATAAAACTCCAGTCCTCTAATCTCTATAGTTTTATTCACTTGGCCGACTCTCCCCCTTCCACTTGACAATCTGCAATATTGAAGAAAGACCACATCAAATCACAGCCGACTAATTCGTTAACATCTCAGATATATCGTGTTCTGCCTTCAAACAAATTTTACTAAAACAACCGCTCCAGTCTAGATCCATTAATGTTCTTTTCTGTGGTAATGATAAAACTTGGACTAGGAAAGGAACCATTCTAACAAAATACACTAAATATAACTGCACTTCAAACTCCAATGGAGATCAAGTGCTTCATAATCGAGCTTTGCCCTACATGTCCATTTGGCTCTACATTTTCTATTTATTTTCAGCCTGTCAGCCTCCTCCCTCCTTCATAAGGAAAAATGGTCAATATTCTCTCATCAATGGGCCAAAAAAAACATATTTTCAGGTTGTCTAATAAACTTAAGCAAAGACAATGCTACCACTAGTAACAATCAATCTCTCTAAGATAAAATACAAGTTGTTATTCAATTACAATTAAAACTAAGATGTAAGCGAGAACACTACCCAGTGAGGAGTTGTTGCTTCGTAATGGTCAAACTGGAAAACTTTAAACCAATCGAAATATTTCCCTGTAAGATTATAGTAAGGGTAAGCAAACATTCAGGATACATTATTGACAAACAAAAAAAAAATCCCTAGAAATGGTAGACTTTAATGCAGCATAAAGAACCCAAGGTTAATTGAAGGAAAAAAATGATGACAGAAAAGATAAACTTACTTGATCATTCTGTGTATCACTGTATAAAACATGGAAGTTTCTTATGGCCACTTGGATGCTGTCAAGAATCTAGAAGAAAAATAAAAGAGCACACATAATGCTGTATTATCACACGCAGAACAAGATAAGGCACAAACAAATGAAGAATGGAAGAAAGTAAACTAAGTTTGCGATATAGTGTTCGTCTTTGGTGTATGAAGAACCCATATTTACTGAATATCGCAACCAAAACAACAATCTTACCCAAGACTAAAAAAGTTTCATTTTTACTATTAATAAGGAATAAAGTTAGATTGAGATCCAAAAAAAAAATCATCCTCAGCAACGATGACATTGATAAAAGGACAAAGAAATCATACCTTTGCAGTGATGTAAGAAATGAAGGACTGACCAGCATGACTACCTGCAATTGAGGAACCACCGCTCCCTCAGAATCAGTGATAAGACCTTTAATCAATCCCCCATTAATACTTCAGTATTGTTCAAAAGGAATGTCCCTTTCAGATATGTTGGGTGAATTGACAGCATATATTTCAGTTTTTAAGGCTCTTTTGCTCTATGTTTTTCTAATTTTGTATAGCTAGTATGATCATGGATCCTATTAAATGCCAGTTCACTCTCAACAAAGGTGACATATTCGAAATAAAGGTTCAAACTTTTTTAAGTTTCATGCTAAAAACATTTCAGTCAGAGAAAAGGCTATGATAGCTAACGATATCATACTTTTTCTTTACAAAGCAAAAGTTAAGAAATGGCACTACTAAGGCTATTTTTTGGTAGCAGCGTATTAGGACCCTAACAATTGCTTCCAGAACAAATTGCAAAGTCACCAATTAAAGAACAGAAGTCGAACAGAATATATTACTTCTACTTAAGAGCACAACCCTGTAATACATCTAAGCACATGATGATACGAAGACTATGCAAACTAAAAGCATTTGAGCTGCGGTGCAAAATCTTAATTTTCATTGATATAAGCGCCAATACATATAGTCTATGGAGGATTAATTCCCGATAAAAAGATAACCTAATTTCCTCCTAAGAATCATGATAGACAAGATATGATGAGATATGAAAATAAATCTAAAAGGTACATCAAAGATAATAAAAATAAACAAGAAACTAGGTTAATGGGATAATGGGCCTATAAGAGTGAAGCCCACAGCCAACACTACCCTTCAAGCTGGAAAAATAGATATTGATTATTCCCAGCTTGCCACTAAGCTCTTCAAACTTGACCTATGTAAGTGACTTAGTCATCACATCCACAAATTTGACTAGGAATGGCATTGCTCAGATATATAGACTCAGCTGCTTTTCAATGTTTCGGAAATTGTAGTTATTTCAATGACTCCTGTACTTCTCTTTTCCTTCTATGTTTCTTTTGGAGAACGCCTTCTCTTATTTTCTAACTTTGTAATTCCTTAATGAATTCCTTTCCCTATCAAAACAAGGGGAAAAACGACTCACCACACACACGCCTGGACAGTTTTCCCAACTCAGCTGCTGCAAGTTTGGCCTTTTTCGCTGCAAACTCTCTCTTTTCAACAGCATACTCGCTCCACTAACACAGAGGAAACTCAAATTGCAAATAAATGGTATAACAATGTACTTGATAAAAAGAGCTTTGTCTCAAATGATATGCCTGAGTAAGTGGGCTTTCTTTTTTAATTGTCTCATACGGGAAAAGACATTTAACACAAAGAGAATCATACAAGAAAAAGGTAGAATACCATCCCAGAAGAAGAAAAGCATGCTGATAAAACCAAATATAAATCCAGAAGAATCAAGGTTAGATGTAGTAGTAGTAGATCCAAGAAATACCTCTTGATCCCCTCGTTGGGATGCAGAAATGAAGACATCCTCTAATACTATTATAATGGGATCCCAGCCAAGCTTTTTCCATGGAATTTTGATGCTTAACCTCCCAACTCGACCTGGCCATAATTTTCAATTTTCGTTAGGAATGAGTAAATACAAGCTTCTATGCACAAGCTGCCAGCCACCATTATTAGAAAACCATTCATCAGAAATTGTCACGTTTTTAAGGACGCAGTTCCAGTACCTTGCTTCAGAGCAAATGGCAGTTGGAGATAATCAAACGCTTCAAGTATCAGCTCCACATTCTCCAGTAATACTTCCTCTTTGTGACAATACATAATTAACCCCAGCATCAGTTCAAAAACACCCTTCATTTAAAAGTGCTAATATCCACACACACACACACACACACACACACACACACATAGAAGCCATCACGCTTAAAATTACTAGAACACATGTTTATAGATTATAAGGCATAAAATATGGCAAACTCTCCAAATCAAATGTGGAAACAAATCCTCTCAAGCGCTAGGAAACATCAGCCTGTTGATTAAAGAAGAAACTGCGGACCTCTTAAGAAATTAAAAAGTGAACTGAGCACCAAACGAATATATATGAATGTCCCGAAAACCACAGTCGTGATAAAAACTATCAAAGTCGTAAGGGAATATCACTGCAACAGAAGTATCCCAAACATAAATAATTGCAAGCTCAGTGCGTCCAAACAGTCGGTTCTCATGTGGGTGCATCTTCAGATACAGACGTTAATAGACATTTAGTCGCTAATTATACGACAAAATCAACTTCAAGAAGATTATTAACAGCTCAGAGAGAATAAAATAATAACCAGACGAACACTAGAAAATCTGACGTACCATTCCAAAGAGTGATCTTCAGCTGCTCTTTCTGGATATCTTTGACATATCGGCCTAGGTAACCCAGAAGCACCTGACGAACTAATCCTTCGAACATTGCCGGACTATTGTCTTCACAACATCAGTATTGCTTAGTATAACTGAAATAAATAAACCGTAACCATGTCAGCGAAACCCGAAAATTAAGTAACTAAACACTACAATATACAAACATATAAACAAAAACCAGACTCTCCCCCTCCCCCATGAATAAAAGACAAGTCAAAGAGTCTTCATTTACCCTGCAAAATTTACAGTGATTAAGCCAAATTCGTCCCTCCCCCACCTGCTGGGAGGCCTCATGCCGTTCACGAGCTGGTCGTACTACAACGGAGAAGGGACCAGACAAGACTACAGCGTGTCGATGAGATACCTGAACACTGGGATGGTTGGCGACTCCCCGCCTTGCGACTCAGCGCTCTGCAACTACACCGCGGCAAATGCCGGAAGGCGCCCAGATTTTTTTTTTTTTTTTTCGGGGCGAAAAGAACGCGGGCAGAGCGTTCGTTTGGCGCAAGAAATGCCCATTCGTTTAACCCGGTGATTAATCAGATTGGGTTCAACGGCCCACTAGCCGCTGTCATTTTTTTAAAATGACTTTTCAGATTTTGGGCTTTACCCAAAGAGACTGCCTTAGAATTTTATTTTGAACTCTAATATGACCAAGAAAATGAGAAAGAAAAGGAAGAATTACAAAGAAAGAATTATTGTGAGGTCTGAAAAAAAAATTATAAAATAAATCTTAAATTTGTTATTTTATATTTTGAAATTTGTCATTACAGGTTACTTATATTATTATTAGGATTTTTTAGTAATTATTTTTCTTTTTTAGAACCTCATTATAATTCTCCCAATTATAATCAGGTCCTAATAAAGGGATTTTCATTGACAATTGAAAGGTATGCAATGGCAAGTTTCATAATAAAAAAATAACAATATGTTCATATTAGTCACTTGTCATTGGAACTTCTTGACAATTAGATTTTTTTTTCTTGAAACCTCATGATAACTCTCCCAAAAAAAAAAAAAAAAAAAAGCATGGGGTTGTGGGGTTTTCCTCAGTCCTCACGGCGCCAAAGCAACAACTATGACGTAATCAATTGTCTTATTTTGTGAATTATCACTAACATCGATCATCATCAATTAATTATCAATTGAATATCAATCAATCAATTTTTTAGGGGTACTTAGGTGGGTAAAGGGGGCTGTCTTTTTTTCCCCTTTGAACGCAGATACCATTTAAAGTAATCCTATTTGAGGTATTGTTATACATTAAATATAAATACTTCTTCCAGTAAAATTCAAACTAATCACTCTCGCTAACCCCATTTCTATTAATTAGGTTGTGGTTTTTATAGCATGAATAAGTTTGTTCAAAAAACAAATAGCACCATTACGGAGTTCACAGCATGAAAAGTTCTGACCCAACAAACAGAAGCATCCGATATGAAGTTCATGCAAACCACTTTAAGTTACATATGCATGTATTTGTGTATGCATAATAACCACTTAAGTTTTAAACAGAATGAAAGAAATTATAAGGCTGCTTAATTTTCAAAAAGTTAATAAATAGTCACTGCCAATATTCAATACGAGGTATTTAACATAATTCATCATTTTAATGTGATTAACAAATATATATAATGTGAAACTTATAAAAAAATTGTCTACAGGAGAAAAACATTATCAATCCCAAACTACTCGTTTGGTACACTAAAACTAATATTAATGCGGATATGGATGAATTTGATAACATGCTTGATATGAGGTTTCAAATTAAAAATGAATTTATGGGAGGTGAAATTGTAAAACTTGGGGCGGTAAATTGGAAATCAATTCCATCAATTTTGATGAAAGAGGAATTAGAAATTTTTCCGATTCCATCCTATCAACACAAACATGGTGATGGAAATCATTTTCATTTTCATGTGGCCCAATTCCATCGTACCAAACAGACCATAACCCTCGTTATAAAATGGCATTGCTCAATTAACTCGGTTACAACAATATTAACAAATATCTGACAGTTCTGAACTGCAAAAAACTGAAAAATACATAGCAATAACTAACAACAGACTACTTTCCCCCTCATGTGTGATGTTTAGGATTCCTCATGAAACAAGGCAAGGGACGGAAAGTCAGTCCCTAGAGACAAGACATCTGAATGGAGCTTTCCTGTCCAAGTCTTACGGAGTTGACATAATCTGTGGGACAATGTGCAGAAATACCAGGAAGAACCAAGCCTTGTACTCTTGCAAATATGCGGAACCACCCTTCCTTATAGTCCGGTCCATAAATGTAGCCTATTGCTAAGCTTCTCATTAACTCCCATACAGCATTCAGATGTTTTGGTATGAAACGTCTCATTCCAAAGAAATTTTTATTCGGCTCCTCATTCAATCTCTTCAGAATTGGGTGCCCCACCAAAATTAAAAACGGAAAACAAATCAGCACCTTAAAGAACACAATTTTCTAGATCCAGCATACAAAACTGATCAATAATCCAATCATAACAGAACCAAGTAGTTGCAGGTCCCATTGAATAGTGCAGCTCATTTCTCAAACTCTATACAATACATCAAACTCACACTAGTAGTTCATCTCTTGAAATATGTATCTTGCATACGTATTTGTCTGTTTATAAACAAATCCAATCAATCTATCTTCTGCATACCAAGTGCATGCAATAATATTTCATAAAACAAAATGAACTCATGTCATTTCAACTACTAAAGTGATTAAAAATTCAACAAAGTTAGGACTGAAACTAGGTGGCTTTCACTTTAATGAAGTTAGAATAAAAAAGTGTATGCTAGGACTTGGCGTCATGGTAAGCTGGTAACCACGAAAAACAAGGCAAAGATGATATAATATGGGTCTGTGTGTTGAGATAGAAGAATGACATACCAAAACAACAAACTAAATTAGGAAATGGAAGATAGAAACACATACCTACCTGTTCAATGTAAAAGCTGTTATATAAAGGCACACTCCAAAATGTTTGTACAAGAAGGTTTTATCATCATAAGGCAACCTCGGCACAAGATCATTACAGTAGACGATCCTGAAGTACCTTTGAAAAGGATGTTGCAGATGAGCTTCCATGAACCTTCCAAGTTGCTCATTTCCAATCCTGGGTTGGCCATATGTGTAAACTCCCAGAAGCCTTTCCATTATCTCCGTCTCTTCATGAAAAATCAGCACTGTTGGAAACAATATGGCTAAAGCTCCACCCAAGCTATGCCCAGTAACTACAACTTTGCATTCTTGTGCTCATTTAACAAGCTTTTGAGTCTCTCCCTAACGATATAATATGCAGTTCTCTCATCTTTCTTCAATGGTGTCTTAGAATCACAAGAATGATCCCATTCCCATCCACCTTGATCTGAATCAGATTCATTGTTTGATGATGACAGCATTCAGCTACTTACTCATTTTCCTTTATGTCTTTGTCCTAAACTGTTTCGATTTGCCCTAATGCTCTCAAGGCTTCCAGGAACCCCATGTGGATTTTTCCCAGTTTGGGATCTCATACCAGGAGTAATCAAAATCAGTACTCCAATCATCAGCATCGAAAGGTTCAGTGCCCCTAAAGCTGACTGCTACCAAGTTTGCATCTTCGATGTTGTTACAGAAAATAAACACTTGGGTGGACAACTCCTTTTGGAAATCTATCATTTACATACACAGAAGAAAGATTACTAAACAATGTTAGCATAAGGCATAACGATATACAAGTAACTCGTGAATTTTTTTGCACAGCATTCTAGCATGCCTCCCATAATATCTTACCATTCCAGCAATCATAGAAATCCACAAAGTGCATCTGTCATTCAAAAGAAATAAATTTACTTTCTTCTCTAAAGTATATGGCTAAGTACCCTGTGTACTGAAATTGTAACTTTCAAAGAGATTGGAGCAACTTACCTTCCAGTGATGGTTCACAACACTTTTGATGACTTTGGCATTCTCATACGCCAGCTTGGAAGCCATCATGCAGAGATCCATTAAAGCTCTGTTTCCCATTTCTGGCTTAAATATGCTCTCTCTGTGTATAGAATCCCCGCCACTAATGTTTGCTTTCGCTAACTCTTGGTCCCTGTAAAGATCAACCCTACCATCTAAGTGACCAATTGTGCTGATAAAAGTGTCTGTGTCCCTCCGCGGTACCACCACTTTACCTGTTCAAAACCAATTACAACGGTCAATTAATTATGCCAAGAGTTTTACGATTTTGACATATAACTAACTGTAATACTTTTTTTTTTTGGGGTCGAAATAACTTATTGTAAGTAATAGCAATTCAACAAAATTTTCGCTTTCTACAAGGTCGTCACAGGTTAAGAGCGGCGAGCACTGTTTGATAATCTTGAAATCTTTTTTTTTCTCTTCACAGTTCAGAAGACATTGTACTCAAAGACAGCTAGTCTTAACTACACAAATATTTTAGTTGCAAGAATACAGAGATTCATGTTCAGGTAGCCAGAAACAGAGATGACAGTGAGTAGCACAAGATTAAATAACCATTCAAAACATCGCAGTACCACGGATGATGTTGTAAGTAGACCAAGCAAGTTTCCATTCTGGAAGAAGATTCAACAGAAAGTCAACCAAGCAGCCAGTCCACTGCATAGGCTTGGCCAAAAGAGCAATGATCTTGCGAACCACAATGGAAACCATAATAACCCATCTGTGATCATCATTATCCATGTCACGACTACCAGGTGGTCCCTCTTTAACATCGTAGTTGGTCTCCAAAAACTTCTCAAAACTCTGTTTGTCACCCCTGATAGTGTAGCTTAGCAAATCCCTTATGCCACCATTCTCTGGGCGAACAATCAAATACCTAAAAGCCAAATAGTATCGCACATTAGCAATGTCAATTCTTTCAAGTAACACTCTGGATTAAAAACCTTGCATGCATGCAGCCGATTTGAAGGAGTGTAGTTGGTGTGCAAAGACCAGTCAAGTGTGACTGTTTGAGAATCTCTGAATATAATATAAAACAGTTGCCGAACCCAAAAAAATGAGGCACCTGAAGCCATAATCGCCCGTCGGCTTTTCATCCATTAGCTCGCGAGAAGCTTCATCGTCAATGGCGTGATCAATCTCCACAGACATGACTGCTAGATTGTGCGGATTGGCTTTGGGAAAGCAGAATGAATCTGGTTGAATTTATACGGAGGCGTAATGATCATTCGGGGTTACGTGTAGGCAAGTAGTGCTAGGTCCAAGTAACAAGCAACCTTGTTAAACTCCAGAAAGTAATATGTACTTTTGGGGCGAAAATCGGGGAAGCATAGTGGTTTTGGGTTTCGGGTACCTATCAATATGAGAATATTATGACACCGGCCATCGTGGTCAAAAGTGTCGTCAACTTCTTTGAAATTACTGCGTACCGTTTAAGAAGTTTAAATATAAGGC